TCATGGCATCAATTTATAAATGTATATGATGTTAGCTTATGTCATATTTGTGTCTTGATAAAGGGGCAGGTTGCCTCGAACATTTGACAATTCACTTAATTCATTGATTATATATCTATTCCAGTAATACGAATCCAACATTTTTTTAGGATCCAGTACCAATATTGGACCATACCGTCGATATTACTTACTAGATTATATATACAAGCGACTATCACCATTTATTGATAAGGAAAGGAGTTAATACTGATGTGAGAGAGTGGATTTTACAATCTGAATATTACAGCTAGCAATGCTCTTCAGTATATGCTGCGTGCACGTCTGACCCAGTTACTGATATGTAATTTTAATGAGATTGTGAATTGAAAGTGTCTTTTACATTTTGAAAGCTGCAGATTGACATTGATTCGCTGTATGGTATGTAGCATGCTGGGATGAAGGGTTGCCACGTTTGTTAAAGTAAATGACCTTAACCTCCTTTCAATGTCACAGAGGTCAAATATGTTGAAATATTTAACTACATATTTTCAATAGCTAAATGGCTCAGAGTGATGATGTTTGGCATGTAGCATGCTTGGATAAAGGGCTACCAAGTTTGTAAAAATTAATTACCTTGACCGCTACTTTCAAAGTCACATGTATCAAATATGTAAAAATCTATAAACAACTTCTTACAATAGCCACAAGGCACAGGGTCATGATACTGGGCCAGTTGTATGCTGGGATGAAGGGCTATCGTGTTTGTTCAAATTAATAACCTTGATCTATATTAAAGATTACAAGGGTCAAATATGACAAACTACAACATCAGAGAGAGTGTTACCAGTTCCGTTTAGTTGAAAATGAAGCCTTCAAACTGTTCATTTCTGTTCCGTCGTTCCCAATGCATGGACTGATGGACAGATGTTAAAACTGTCCAAAGACCTGGAGACCTCAGGTGACCGTTAAGGTCCATGAACCTTTTGTCTTTTATTATTGAGTTTTTTTTCTTCTTTACCATCCAATTTCTGTAATTAGGACTTTATAATTATATGATGCAGTTTTGATATTTGTTTGAAAACATATCTTACGTTTTTTTATTCATGAATATTTTTCTGCCCCCATCGTCTATCCCGTCTGAACTGACATAGTAAAACAAAGGGATATAACTCTGAAAGATCAGAATGATTTCCCAAATAAGGGCATAACTCTAAAGTGAGTATTTCACTAATTCGTCAATACATTCCGTTGATGTATTTCACTCATTTAATGAGAACTCAGCGGCATTATTATCCCTGGCTCATTAAAAGTTTGGACTATGATCTCGAAATCGTTACACAGTACATTGTATCAAAATGTTTCGCATGAATACTTATACGTAACAAATAATGATACAATCACGCCATAGAGAGTGTTTTAATAGGACAATACAATGACACAACAGAAAACGACCTAGAAGATATAAAGATTACCAAAGCTGCTGAATTCTGCCATTGCGATGTTACATCGTACATGTTAAGTGACCTCTGAGATATTTTTTTAACTTTTAATTATTAATTAGATAAGTGTCACCTTACCTAATGTTTCCACGTTTGCTGCTAACAGACATGTCTACTACAACCTTCGATTTAGGTCAACATACCCCTTTTCTTACCACGAATGGGGAGGGGTGGGGGGATACCCAGATACCATTCCAGCCTCATTAGATCGATGGAATAACAACAATAACATTTGTACATGTAGGTAAACGTGTATCTATACAAATTGTAAATTTCTCGTTATTAGGTATACCTTCAAGTCTACATCTTCATTAGTGGGTTCAATAACATGGCAAAATAAACCATTGGTAATCTTATTACCAATCTCTTCTGTATACGGTTATGTTGTGGTAAATAAAGTCATTGGTAATCTTTGTACCAATCTCTTCTGTATACGGTTATGTTGCGGTAAATAAAGTCATTGGCAATCTTATTACCAATCTCTTCTGTATACGGTTATGTTGTGGTAAATAGAACCATTGGCAATCTTATTACCAATCTCTTCTGTATACGGTTATGTTGTGGTAAATAAAACCATAGGCAATCCTTGTACCAATCTCTTCTGTATACGGTTATGTTGTGGTAAATAAAGCCATTGGCAATCTTATTACCAATCTCTTCTGTATACGGTTATGTTGTGGTAAATAAAATCATTGGTAATCTTTGTACCAATCTCTTCTGTATACGGTTATGTTGTGGTAAATAAAACCATAGGCAATCTTTGTACCAATCTCTTCTGTATACGGTTATGTTGTGGTAAATAAAACCATAGGCAATCCTTGTACCAATCTCTTCTGTATACGGTTATGTTGTGGTAAATTAAAACCATAGGCAATCTTTGTACCAATCTCTTCTGTATACGGTTATGTTGTGGTAAATAAAACCATAGGCAATCTTTGTACCAATCTCTTCTGTATACGGTTATGTTGTGGTAAATAAAACCATAGGCAATCCTTGTACCAATCTCTTCTGTATACGGTTATGTTGTGGTAAATTAAAACCATAGGCAATCTTTGTACCAATCTCTTCTGTATACGGTTATGTTGTGGTAAATAAAACCATAGGCAATCTTTGTACCAATCTCTTCTGTATACGGTTATGTTGTGGTAAATAAAACCATAGGCAATCTTTGTACCAATCTCTTCTGTATACGGTTATGTTGTGGTAAATAAAACCATAGGCAATCCTTGTACCAATCTCTTCTGTATACGGTTATGTTGTGGTAAATTAAAACCATAGGCAATCTTTGTACCAATCTCTTCTGTATACGGTTATGTTGTGGTAAATAAAACCATAGGCAATCTTTGTACCAATCTCTTCTGTATACGGTTATGTTGTGGTAAATAAAACCATAGGCAATCTTTGTACCAATCTCTTCTGTATACGGTTAAGTTGTGGTAAATTAAGTCATTGGCAATCGTATTACCAATCTCTTCTGTATACGGTTATGTTGTGGTAAATAAAACCACTGGCAATCTTATTACCAATCTCTTCTGTATACGGTTATGCTGTGGTAAATAAAACCATTGGCAATCTTATTACCAATCTCTATTATTTACAAAACGAAACAAATAAATCGATACGAACATAATTTCATGTATCGCTTTGTGGACAAAATTCCACGTGGCACAGTCAGATAAAGCACTTGGTCGGTAAATACATTCAATGTAATTTTCAAACAACATGAACATCAATCAATAGGTCGTTTTGGCTACACACCAACTGTATATTCACTTAGTTAAAAATAAGGTTAGTTGATTTGGATATACAAAACTACCCTTAATGATTGGATTGTAAACAACAAGTTATATAAATTTAGAAATACATTTGAAGATAAAGTTAGTTTTCTTATCGAATGAATGAAACCTTTTTAGATCAGTCTCTTAAGGCTCTCCGGTGGCGGTATTGCCAAAGGATGAAGAGATATTTCCTTATTGCGACAAATTTATACCAAACATAGTTCACCGTATGTGTGTATTAACAATTTTATTTTACACGAATGGTTCAACGCTTTGAAAATTGCAAGATATCTTCTATAGACACTTTTATATGATAAATTAAGAAAATCCTTAAACATTTGGATGGACGTGTAATGATGTTTACAAACACTAGTTGCTCACGGTGTCGCAGCCAGATGGGTACAAACGTCATTCATGTCATACACGCAGAACGCGTTCGTTTTTTTTTTTTTTTCAATCAAATCAAATTACTCTACAAGCCTTTTTATGCTTTGTCTACTTGTGTCGTACATATGATGTTTGGGGCCCGGATGTCACTGGTGTAAACTACCTACATCCAATACACTTTAACACGGAAGCGTATTCCGGCCTCGTTATGTTTTATTTTATCTCGAAATTTCGAGATAGCAACTCGAAATTTTGAGATATTAACCCGAAATTTAGAGATAGCAACTCGAAATTTTGAGTTAGTAATCCGAAATTTTGAGTTAGTAAGTCGAAATTTCGAATTATTAACCGTAGCTGGCGTGTTTGATGCTCGTTAATTTACCTGTTGGTTCCGTTTTTGCATACCTTGTTCTCATATGAGAGCATGGCATTACCTACTTGGATTGATAACGATTTACAAGACACTTACCCTTCCGGAACACCTGGTCTTATTATCTTTGTACTTTTTCAAGAAGTCTTCATGTAAATCTTTCTTTTTTTCTTTGTGATTATGTGGACATGTTGTGTTTGGTATTTTTTTCTTACATTTTTCAGTGGATATAGGACATATGTGTATTCAGAACTGTTGGTATCCCCAATGTTTTTCCTGGTAAGAATGACATTGCCTGGAATGGCTTAAATTGCGAGAAATTGAGCCAAAGAAGCATACTCCATCATTTGTGATCGGTCGTTTTGGTGAATTTGTTAAAAAAAAAAAAACTGTTTGACTTCGCCATTCACAGTGGCACCAAAGATTATTTGGGCATTACATTTTTCTCATAGGAGGTAGTAAAGGTTTTTTCATTCATAGACTAGCAAAATCACATGTTTGAGTTTATTTAGTTTCCATATATAATGATACTACGTTATTCATCTGATTCAAAACATCAAAGATGGCTTAACCACGGACTTCCATGAATACCTAAGTACCTAAATATACCTGGTTGTAGATGTACATTGTGCGATAGGATATGTCCCCGTGCACAGGGGTTAACACGAATTCCCAATCCACGGTCCATATATATCTTGTCACTGTGGCATATGTATGAACTGTGGGCCGGAAATCCGTGCCAAATCCCTGTGTCCCCGTGTTGCAAATATTAACAAGTAGTTTGAAAGATTCTAATGTTGACGGTTAGTGTAACATTTCTTTTGTAAAGTAGATCAGTATTCAATATAATGCTGATAAACTCTGTGCATTAATCACGTACAAATAGTGGTGTGATACCTAAAATAAATGACCAGGTGTGGCATAATATCATAGTTACCTCCCCTTTGTGTACACTTTGAGGTCCGAAGTCGAGAGATCTCACGGTTATTTTTAGCCTCCATCTGTCACATGAAACGCATGCACTTGGTATCGTTCTGCTAAAGTGTTAGGATATGATAGAAAGACAAACAGGGATGACGACAAAAACATGGATATGACTTTGTCGTGAAGTTGTGGATAAATATCGTAACATCCATTGGCTGTTGGTGCCTGCTAGGAAGACATGAGTTAATTTAAGACCTGCTGTATTGTGATGGTGGTCAGATAATTTGTAGACAAGGCGTAGATAGTTTGATCGAATCGTCTGGTTAGGAACCGAGTGTCTTTTAAGAAATCCACTGTTATAAACTTGATAGTAGCTAACAGCTAACACAAACAAAATGGATGTATTTGGATGGATAACCGTGCTTGTGTTCAGCTTCCTTATTTCGATGATTTGTGTTGGGTAAGTACTGTAGCAAGCAGTAGCAACACTTGAGATACGAGACACTTTGAAACAGACCAAATTTTGTATGATATTGGTATTTTTATTACCAGGTGAAGGTTTGTTTTTTCAATCACGCTGGGTAATACACTGTATCATGTCAGTAATTACCTGGTTACAATAAACAATGTATATTACCCTTTGTTAGAGACAATCCTTTCTGAAATTACATTGTTTCTTTCTTTAGGATTGACCCATTGACCTATAGGACTTTACATCTAACGTCATACGGACCGGAATAGGGAAACTTTTCATACGCATATATATACAGTACTACGTTCGAAGCAGGATTAGAAAATTTGATAATTAAAGTGAATTTCAATGGTTAGAAATGGAAATTATGAAATTTATTACTACCATTTATACATCGCTTTAATCATGCAAGCAAAATTGAAAAAACAAAAAACAAAAAAAAAACAGTTAAGGAAATGGGGTAAATTATGACAATACAAAAATTCTAAAATTTTAGAAAAAACAATATATAAGAACCAAGACATTATGTCTCAGATTGCGGCCAGGTTCCTGAATGGATTCCTGAGGTATTCTATAGAGCTCCATACAATGTGGTCAGCATAATGAGAAAATAATGGATTCTCAACAGCCAGGAACACTTGTTGTAGTTTTATGGTAGACTAAATCGTTGACAATTTTTGACCGCTATGCGGCCGTCATCAGGACAAATTTACAGAATATAAAAATGTATAAAGTATAACTTTGTGGTTATAAAGATAATGTATTGAAATAACAATTCTTATACTGATGTAAATTTTACAGTTCTTGTGAATTTTTTTTGGAGAATGTTTATGAAGTAGATTATAAGATTCCGGATATTTTGTTTGATTGAGTATTTATGCCACCAAGAGTTGGTTGATCGTCCCATAAAATGTCCATTGGCGGTGTGTTAGTAGTTTCATTTTCCATTCCTTATTCGTTCAAGTGGATTCGTATCTTCAATATCCTTTATGATGTCGCTCAGTTCTTTCGTAGAGAAGCACCCTTTGGCCATATTTTATGGCGCCAGCGTGTTTGAGTGGATCAACACTTGTTGTAGTTTTATTTATTGACTAATTTGTTGACATGTTTTGACTGCTATGCGGCCGTCATCAGGACAAATTTACAGAATATGAAGACGTATAAAGTAAAATATTGCGGTTATAAAGATAATTGTGACATAATAATGGACAGACATAACATTTCTTATATCCTCAAAAATACAATTCTTGTGAAACTTTTAGGAGAGTTTATAAAGTAGATTATAAGATTCCAGATATTTTGTTGGTTTGAGTATTGATACCACCAAGAGTTGGTTAAACAAATTATCTTTATAATGGCAAAGTTCTACTTTATACGTCTTTATATGTCTTTATATCCTGTAAATTTGTCCTGATGACGGCCGCATAGCGGTAGAAACATGTCGACGATTTAGTCCATGAATAACAAGTATTCCTGAATGTTGAGAATCTTTTATATGTCTTTATATCCTGTAAATTTGTCCTGATGACGGCCGCATAGCGGTAGAAACATGTCGACGATTTAGTCCAAGAATAACAAGTGTTCCTGAATGTTGAGAATCTTTTATTTTCGCTCTATGTAAAAATTTGTTAAATGTTAGAACAGAATTAGATCAAAGTCTGTGCTTGAAATGAATATTTGAAAAAAAATTACCATAAATGACTTGAAATTACACAGTTTTTGAAATGTTGAAAGTTAGTTTTATAACAGACTAAAACGTATATTGATCCCATCTGGGGTACTGATGCCATTATTGAATTACCCTGATGCTATATATTGAGAGAGCTTTTGTGAAATAGACATTAAGATACTCACCAACATCTTAAGCACACAATGAGATGTCTTGGCATCTCTTGTTTATAGCAAAATGGAAATTGTGAGTTTAAAAAAGTTTGAAATACATATGAAAACTTGTAAATATGTATTATGGGTTTTTACCAAAAACACTGGCTCAGTGTATTTACACTCCATAAAGTTCTGCTTGTCTAGAGCAGTTACTGAATATGTTACATCTATGTTATATCATAACTAGCTTTTGATATGTTTAGAACCTTAGAACATTGAAATTCTTGTTGGGTAAACATCTAACTGTACTTCATATCCCGTCATTTTCCCTCTAAAGTAAGTAGCATTTAATTAGCAGCCACACTTTTATGCAAAAGTGTCCTAGTTGTGTTCAATACAGATTCAACACACCCAAAATTAATCAGTTTTCATTTCTGGAGAAAATACATTGCATATGGTTATTACTTGTTAAAGAACCTCTTCACATTGTGAATATATACATGTATCTGAAATATTTAAAAATATTATGTATAACTCTTCCTTAGTGGAACTCTTTTACTTGAAAAACAAAAAACAGGGTCAACTAATTGCAGCTACACGGCAGTTCAGTTAAACAAATTTTGAAGGCGGTTTAATTATTACCATTTGATTTTTCAAGGATTGAAAAATTTTGTATATAGATCTCCTTCCTCAGTTTTTCGTCAATTTCTCTGAAATTTGGCCAGCATTTTATAACTTTTGAATACAGTCATATTACTGGCATTGTGATTTTTCAATTTTGGAAAGAGAGTTATTGCCCATAGTTTTTGTTCAACATTTTATCTTGTCCTTCCTCAGTCTTCAACCAATTTCTTTGGGACTTGGTAGGATTGGAAACCACAACATGAGATGGTGTTCTTGTGAATAGCATTTTGAAAGTCTTATATAGTGGCTTGGTATACTTTAATTTATTGTATGTATATATACGCCTGTCCAATGCCAAAGAAATATTCAGGATTTGAACTTTCTTTGACCTGGGAGAGGCATATATTGTTCTGTCTTGGTACTCTTGTTACAATTGGTTCAGACATGACCTCTATAAGATTATCATTAATCAACTTATGGCTGGAAACATGCAGGGTGATGATGAGTTGATACAATACACTTGTAATTCAATAGCATATATAAATCCTATGACATATTTGGATCAGGTTGATATATCGTAGGGATTTTCCTGAAAATTGTGAATATCATTCAACAGACCACACACAGGACATGTTTGAATACTCTGAGAATTTAGTTAATGTATAGCTAATAATAATCTGTGGAAATTCAACATAATATAACAGAGGTCATTTTTCATCTCAATGCCTCCGCTAGGAATCAAACCCGGGACCCCTGACTTACTAGTCTGACGCTCTACCAATGGAGCTAAAGAGAAGTTCTCTCTAGCCGAGTGGTATATTGTGGCTAGTATTTTACCAGGGTTACAATAATATATATTGAAAATGTAAAGTTTTCATGTTACTGTACAGTTGTTTGAAAAACCAGCACCTTTAGTATATATATTGTGCCAAGTACTGATTAACCCTAATGCCGACATATGGAAGATATTAACATTGCGTTATCTATTACAGACATAGACAATGTAGTAATTATGATTACAATCTCTAGGGTTTATCTCGGTGCACCTTAAGTACAACGTGTAAACAAAAGCTATATAGTCATCAAACATATTAGTTCTTAGATTTATTTGACCAGTTTGAAACATTGATATTCAGAGTTCGAAATCTTAGTCATTCAGATAAAGATAAAACAAAATCAGTTTTAACTATTACGTGATCCTGATGGGTGAGAATTTATCATACCCCCACAGGGAATGTTTTGGAGGGGATATAGATACATGTATTTACACACATACCTGACATTTACCCTTGTTAACATTATAGTGGCTTCATTACCGGAGAGATTTTTTTATTTAACTCACACACTGATAAAAGTTTCCATTTTAGGGCGCTATATAGGGTCAAGGTCAATGTTAAATGTACTATTTTAAGAAAACTTTTGACAATGCTCGAGTAGATAAATTTCTTTAGGGATTTTCATCAAGCTTCTTACAATTATAAATGATTATTGTATCTCAAACGGGTCCAAATTTCAGAGCTCTAGGGTGAAGGCCAAGGTCACTTTTACTATATTTAGAAAATCAATGGCAGCATACATACATAAGTGTCTTCATTTTAGGAGGATTTTTATCAACCTCAATGCACTGATATAGGGCAACTATATTTCAAATGAGATTGAATTGAATAGGATCAGGGTTACTTGGAACATGGACACCATGATCATTTCAAGAAAATTATTATCAGTGCTCTTACATGTAATAACATCATTTCTTGAAGGATTTTTACACACCTATAAAAAGACCATTGATATTAGATGAGTTCAGATTTCAGAGTTAGAAAGTTGTTACAGCCCACTAGCAGATTCATTTTTTTGAGGGATTGAGATCAAATTTCATATCCATAAAAAGGACCATCATATTTAAAACAAGCCATAATTTCAAGATTGTACAGTCTAGGTCACTGTTACTATGAAAAAAAAATTTTTGTTGACACTATGCACGCAGCTTGATTTTTTAGGGAGGGGGGTGGGGAATTGAGCTCAAGATCAAACTTCAAGTTCATATAGGACCATAATATCAATAATATCATGGACTAGCTTGGTTTTCAAGGTTTTAAGGTCAAGGTCAAGGCCACTGTTCTGTTTTCAGGCAATCTTTCACACTGTTGGCCATCTTCCTTATGTGTAAGTCAAGGTAGAACTGGTAGGTGATTTGTATCATTTGCTATGCCTTGATGTACTGAGTAAGATTTAGAGCTAATACATGATCACTGTGTTGTAAATGATTTGTTAGAATAGAAAATGTCTTTATGTTTATGCTCTGATTTAAAGTCAATGATACATTGTGGGGTCATTCAAGATTTGTCATTTAATTGATGTTAATTAATAAAGAAATGCCAGTTTCTATATCGTTGTGTTTCCTAAAATGCCTGAAATACAGCAAATACACCTGTCATAATTATTTTATAATTTCATCATCGTGACCATTTAACTTCAAATATCTGTTTCAGGGCAAGTGATCACAAATGTACTTTTATCAAGGCAAAGACCATCACTAAGTACGAACAAGTATATAAACCATGTAAGCTGTCGTACCGAGCACGCTGTTCCTGGTTCAGCTTAGATTATTGTACATTTTACCAGTAAGTATAACCATTGAAGATGCTGTGTACCGATCATATGCAGTTGGAAATTTTCTGTTTACTGCAAACTGACATTAAGTGAAATGTGTACTAGAAGTGGTAGGGATAGGATATTCCAGAGGTTGGAGGGGTAGGGCCATTCAAGAGATGGGAGGGGTAGGACCGTTCAAGTGATGGGAGGGGTAGGACCATTCCAGAGATGGGAGGGGTAGGACCATTCCAGAGGTGAGAGGGATATGACCATTCCAGAGATGGAACGGGTATGACCATTCCAGAGGTGGGAGGGGTAGGACCATTCCAGAGGTGGGAGGGGTAGGACCATTCCAGAGGTGGGAGGGGTAGGACCATTCCAGAGGTGGGAGGGATATGACCATTCCAGAGATGGGAGGGGTAGAGCCATTCCAGAGGTGGGAGGGATATGACCATTCCAGAGATGGAACGGGTATGACCATTCCAGAGGTGGGAGGGGTAGGACCATTCCAGAGGTGGGAGGGGTAGGACCATTCCAGAGGTGGGAGGGGTAGGACCATTCCAGAGGTGGGAGGGATATGACCATTCCAGAGATGGGAGGGGTAGGACCATTCCAGAGGTGGGAGGGGTAGGACCATTCAAGAGGTGGGAGGGATATGTTCATTCTAGAGTTAGGAAGGATATGACCCTTCCAAATAGGGGAAGGGTTCGGGTCATTCCAGCAGTGGGAGGGGAAGGACCATTCCAGAGGAGGGAGGGGAAGGACCATTCCAGAGGTGGGAGGAGAAGGACCATTCCAGAGGAGGGAGGAGAAGGACCATTCCAGAGGAGGGAGGGGAAGGACCATTCCAGAGGAGGGAGGAGAAGGACCATTCCAGAGGAGGGAGGGGAAATGAAGTTCCAGAGATAGGAGGGATATATGTAGAGCCCATATAGCAGATACTACTACTAATTTTTATTTTGATGCTAAGCTTCTATAGGGAAAATTTGCCTATTGTAGATTTTAGACCTATTCATATTTTAGGGAAATGAAGGCGCTACTGTCCTGGTACAATTTGAACTTGCCCTTAATGACCCCTGGTAGTGGTATTGACCTCAGCTGTATGTATTAGGCATTAGCATTGTGATTTATGCAAATACCTACCGGGGTATGTGGTATGACCCTGGACTTTAATCCTCTGATGATTGTGTACAGATCACTTAATATACCAGTGCATGTATCTGATAAAGCTCGAAGTGCTTAATTTTATACATGATTTGTATATGTTTAGTATTTTTTTGACATTAGTGTCAAATTGATAACTTTATTTTTCTTTTTCACAATCTGTGTGGAACTAGCTTAAAAATGTAAGCTGTACAATATGAGAACTTTAAATTTTGAAATGATATTAGTCATACTATTGAATATTTTGTATAGCATTTTGATCTGTTTTGGTTACCTGAAGTTGTAACGGCTAATGACATTGAGGTGGTGTGTTCTGTAATGCACTGTGATCAGGCTATACCAGTCAGGCCATTAGTAACAGCTGTAACACAGTCTGGTGCTATGTTTTGTTGTCATTGACCGGGCAGTGAACACCTAAGGCATTTATCGAATATTTTCTGCCACCATATAATTGTTTTGATTAAGGAATCCTTTATAGTAGTTCATTATAGAGGTCTCTTGTTATATTGTGATATGTATAAATATCATTGGCGTACAACCAACTTAATATTGTCTAGTTTCGTTATGGTCTTATATGCTAATAATTTCCTTAGAAATATAAGGCCTTATACTTATATATACAGTACTGATAATTTCCTTAGAAATATAAGGTCTTATACTTATATATATACAGTACTGATAATTTCCTTAGAAATATAAGGTCTTATACTTATATATATACAGTACTGATAATTTCCTTGGAAATATAAGGCCTTATACTTATATATATACAGTACTGATAATTTCCTTAGAAATATAAGGCCTTATACTTATATATAAAGTACTGATAATTTCCTTAGAAATGTAAGGTCTTATACTTATATATATACAGTACTGATAATTTCCTTAGAAATATAAGGCCTTATACTTATATATACAGTACTGATAATTTCCTTAGAAATATAAGGCCTTATACTTATATATACAGTACTGATAATTTCCTTAGAAATATAAGGCCTTATACTTATATATACAGTACTGATAATTTCCTTAGAAATATAAGGTCTTATACTTATATATATACAGTACTGATAATTTCCTTAGAAATATAAGGCCTTATACTTATATATACAGTACTGATAATTTCCTTAGAAATATAAGGCCTTATACTTATATATATACAGTACTGATAATTTCCTTAGAAATATAAGGTCTTATACTTATATATATACAGTACTGATAATTTCCTTAGAAATATAAGGCCTTATACTTATATATATACAGTACTGATAATTTCCTTAGAAATATAAGGTCTTATACTTATATATATACAGTACTGATAATTTCCATGGAAATATAAGGTCTTATACTTAAATATATACAGTACTGATAATTTCCTTAGAAATATAAGGTCTTGTACTTATATATACAGTACTGATAATTTCCTTAGAAATATAAGGTCTTATACTTATATATATACAGTACTGATAATTTCCTTAGAAATGTAAGGTCTTATACTTATAAATATACAGTACTGATAATTTCCTTAGAAATGTAAGGTCGTATACTTATATATATACAGTACTGATAATTTCCTTAGAAATGTAAGGTCGTATACTTATATATATACAGTACTGATAATTTCCATAGAAATGTAAGGTCTTATACTTATATATATACAGTACTGATAATTTCCTTAGAAATGTAAGGTCTTATACTTATATATATACAGTACTGATAATTTCCTTAGAAATATAAGGTCTTATACTTATATATATACAGTACTGATAATTTCCTTAGAAATATAAGGTGAAATAAATACAATATATTATATACAATACTGATAGATACCTTAGAAACACATAACCTTACACTTATATATACAGTACTTATAATTTCCTTAGGAATATAAGAACTTACAACTACCTACGGTACATAATTTTCCTAAGAAATACAAATGGAGCTGAGTCTACTTATCCGTACCTTCTGTGTTGTCATCACATATATAATCCATATACATGTTTCTATACCATGAATTCATAGTGGAATCGTTGGGGACTTTTAGCCGATCATAGCTTTGCTAGGAGTTATTAATTATAAATGGATACATATTTATCATGTATATAATGAGTATACATACAATATGGGCCCAGTACACTGTATATTATATATAGATTTATCATGTTTATGATGTGTACATACAATATGGGCCCAGTACACTGTATATTATATATAGATTTATCATGTTTATGATGTGTACATACAATATGGGCCCAGTACACTGTATATTATATATAGATTTATCATGTTTATGATGTGTACATACAATATGGGCCCAGTACACTGTATATCATATATAGATTTATCATGTTTATGATGTGTACATACAATATGGGCCCAGTACACTGTATATTATATATAGATTTATCATGTTTATGATGTGTACATACAATATGGGCCCCGTACACTGTATATTATATATAGATTTATCATGTTTATGATGTGTACATACAATATGGGCCCCGTACACTGTATATTATATATAGATTAATCATGTTTATGATGTGTACATACAATATGGGAACAGTACACTGTATAATATATATAGATTTATCATGTTGATGATGTCTGAAATTTGATTTCTTTATTTCCAGTGAACAATATTGCAATAAAAACTACAATACATCAGAGACTGTGTATATCAAAGTGATAGAATGCTGTAAAACCTATGTAGCAGCACCCAATGGTACCTGTATTCGTAAGTATTACACCGGAGTTATCTCACCAGCTATCGTGTAAATCTTATATAATTTATATATGGAGTACACTAAACTTTTCCCTTATTAGCAATCTTAACTACAAGAAAATGTTTCAGTTTTTGCTCATTAATGATTTAACTAGTGATAGATATGGCAGGGTTTACCTGCATCTTTCATTTTGCTTTAAGTTCCCGATATCTATTGACCTGTGCAAAGCACTTGGATATATGTTATTTTGATGTAAAGGTTGAGCTTGGATCAAATCTGCTTTTTGATATAAGGTATTTGTACCTGTACAATGTGATAAGCTCACATGTATCAGTCCAGTTAAAGTGTCAACACATGCCCTTTGATAAACTTTGATAACCCCCTAGCTACTTTCCATTTATATATTCTATATATGTTGGCGGACTTACTGCAGCTAGCATAAATACACAGTGGGTTTACACACTGGCTGTCAATAAATTTCAATAAAATCAATAAAATGCCACTTCTTTTACATAAAGGTAATTGGAAAAAACGATTAAAAGACATTGAAAACATGATATTATTTTTCTACAGTCCTGTCCAAGGTTGAAAATGACGATTGGTATATCATGAAACAAAACACCACAACAGGTAAGTAAACAATATATAAACAGAAGAGTAAATGAAAGATAATAAATGGCTTACTGTTGGAAATCACATTCACTCATTGGCAGAATACAAATATGTATGTAAGTATTTTTACTTAAGCGTTGTATCTTGAGATAGAGCCAATACCGTCATTGCTTGAAGTAGGGAGTAGATGGGCCCTGCGCCTGTCGCCTGGATACCTGAAGATATGCAGGGTATTGGTGAATAAGGATGAGCTTAAATGAAGTAGAATCAATCTCAACAGGCTTGAGGGGTAGGGGTCTTGAAATTTATTTCATAGGGTAGCCTGTCCATCTTAAGTTAACTGCACAGGTGAAAAATATTTAACATGAATGAAACAAATGATATTCAACAGAAAACGATATGATTATTCAGTAGAAAATCAGTATCAAACAGAATGGAAATGAGTTTAATAAACACGACATGTGATACATTAATGATATAACACAATCATATAGATGATCACAAGCCTAACTGTATATATATAGTGCTATTCTTAATGGCCAAGCTAACCTAAGCAATGCAATGCTGGTTTTTAGGTCATCTGACCGAAGGGTCTGATGACCTATTGTGATTGCCTTTTGTCCGGTGTCGGGCATAAACATTTTCAACTTCTTCTCAAGTTCTGCATGTCTCATTAAGCTGAAACTTACCTGAAATGATCGTGACATGATCCTGACCATGGTTTGTTAATTTTGGGTTGGTCCGAAATCCAACATGGCGGCCATCTTGAAAACAAATTTTCAACTTCTTCTCAAGTTCAAAATTTGAAATCTTGTATTTTATGTCAGATGACTGCTAAGGCTCATGGGCCTCTTGTTTTTTTTATATCTTTTTCTTTCATTCTTTGGAATTTTTAATAAATGCAAACTGTTAAAACAACTGTGTGTAGTAAAAATTTAGTAAAACAATTTCTGAAAAATTGTCTGTTTTGATGCAGTGAATAGAAATTGACATTCTGATTTGTCAGTACTGAAAATTAACACCATAGTGAGGACCATACATGGCACAATTGTATAGATTCTGGTGGGTATTTGTAATACATTGTAACAAAACATCTATATTTGTTAATGATCAGCAGTGGAAATGGCGCAGTATTACAGACCATTCTGTATATAAACACTGAAGAGTGTTTCCTTTGTTATGATTGCATATGGATTCAGGACTATTATATATGTCATTTTGTTATATGTATAATAACTATGAAGCGTACATTGTTCGATAATTCACCTATGGGCATATCAGGTTTTAAATATTGCCGTGTTAATAAAGGTAAGTATGAGTGTTCTAGAGTGTACATGAGTAGGAACAGGACTACATGAGAAAGCTACAAATCAAAATGGTGGTGTATGTCACTCACATAATAATTTTTCATGTTATGAGTTTGAACTAAATCTTCTGTTGTTTTGCTGTTTCCAAGGAAACGATTGATTGAATGCAAATCATCCAAAGTCTGCATACTGTTACAATTAGATTATGTTAAATCATGTAATGCATGTTATTGGTGGATTTTTAGGTCACAGTCTCATTGTGACCTATTGCAATCACCTTTAACTGGCATCGTGCATCCGTAAAGGCTTTCCCTGACCTAAGTGTCACAATTTCTGTTTCATGACACTTTATAACTATCATTGAATCTTTATATTCAATATTGCTTATCTCAGATGACCATCACGGCCACTAGGCCTCTTGTCATTGTTTGTCCTCTTACTTAAAAAAAAACTGCCTTCCAAACTTATCATATTTCTGTATTAATACTTATAATTTAAGGCAGATCTCTCGTTTTGTGCCTCTGATATAAAATTGTCCCTACACAGATGCTCCAGTACAGATCAATCCTATTGGGAATGAACCAGTAAAGAATCCACAGATTGGTGATTCTGACAACACAGACTTTGTTGATCCAAGCAAGGTGTACAAAGTGGACAACAAGGGTGGTGGCATGACACTGTCTCACGGGGCCTACGCGGGGATAGGGTGTGCACTACTGTTTCTGGGTATCATAGCAGTACTAACATTTATAGGAGTACGGAAAAGGTGAGTTCCTGCTTTGTTGTCTCCAGTATTTGTTTATCTTAACGCTATGTGTATGTAGTGAGTTCAGCCACAGAAACACTAATTCATAATATTATTATGATTTCTGTTTATATAAATCTATAGTTGATCCAGTCGTAAGATTTTAATACAGCACCTTGGATTGTATTATAGTGTTGATTGTATGTGTCAAGCCATTGGAAACACAAACATTAAAATTATTTCATTGTTTACTTAATTCTCCTTTGACCACAGAAGAAGAAGATTTGCTGCGCAGAAATCGTCTACAAATGAACAAAGAGTTCCGATCCACATGGCCACAGAAGATCACGTAGAGACATAATCACGGCATTCTTCACAGGCTATTTAAGTTTCTTGTCAGGAAGCAATCATACAATGTGGCCTTACATTGTCTGGGGTTACACTGAGTTCCTGTTTACTGAATTATGAGCTTTGATTTGTTTGGGTGTAAAGGGAGGTAACTCCATTTGTATCATATGGCTTCAGAAATGTCAAGAAAAGAACCTTGATTCCCAGCATTTATAAAGAAAGCTATTCGGAAAGACAGTGACTGATGGGCGACAAAGCCATTGGGAATTTGGTTTGTAGATGGTCAAAGACAATTTGAGGGCACAGAAATGATACAGCTTGTTTACAAAACATTTTATTTTTGTAAATTCTGGATTAAGTTTACAATAAAAAGTAACAAGCTGGAATTAGTCTGTATATATCAATGTTACTCCATTTCTAAGTTAGCTTGATTTATTCCAATCACTGAAGTCCAGACCTTATGTTTCATTAAATGGAAACAATTTTCATTTCTGTATGACTTTTTGTAAAGCAACATGCTTGTAAATTGTGTGCTTTTCCTGACTAGTGTATCATGAAAACATAGACAACTGTTGATAAAGGGTTGAAAATCACGAGTTCTTAATAGGCCCAGTATAATCATGATACAATATACTACAATTAAGAATGATAATGCTAGAATTGACTTTGATATTTAATATTTAATTGTTCTTCATTTCCAGTAGAGATTATTATAGTATTTGTTCAATTTTGTGTTTTTTTTTTTTCTTTTAAATGTATCCTTATGAATGAGATTCTGATTGGTCTATATATCATGTGTGTTAATTATGGAGTTCTATGTCAGATTGTTAGAAACTACAACAACGTCTTTTGTGATGCATCTTTTATTTCTTTTTTCTCTCGAAAACATTTCCAGTTCAGCAACAATGGTGTATACGTGGTGTATAATATGTTTACAATGCGATATACAGGTATGTAGTCTGACTTGTTGACATTACGATGACTTGACCCTATCCACTGACTATTTTCCCTTGTCTTGATATATTTGTTTTAAAAAAGCATTATAGGTAGGTCCATGTAATTCAATAGTTTTCACATGTCAAAGTGGTGAATGCAGTCGATTATCATTTTTAAGAGCCTTACGAAGATGACCATAAGCCTGAAAATGTTAATGGAAGTTAACTGTGTTCACAGTGTTGATATTTTTCTGTACACGTTGAATTTGTACTGAGTATCCTTCAACAGAATACATTTATTTTATAATTATATAAAACCTTCTATAAACACCAGCTATAAATGCGATAGAAATATTTCATCAGAACTGATTTGTTATAAAATTAAATGAAATCTCCTATTAACACCAGCTATACATACTTAATATATAACAATATTTCAACAGAACTCACATGTTAACATGTTATAATGAAAATGTTTTAAACTCCAGTCATTACTGTGAGGTATTTTCACCATGAACACAATCAAGATATGTGTGATCTCAGGATGTGAACAATTTTTAGTATACTCCTATGTTTATTTACAATATTTACTCTCATTCCTATTAAATATGATAATAATACATATACCATGCATTCATGAAAGAAAAGTCACAACATTTGACTGTTGAACCATCTTCAAATTGTATTTATTGCCAATATGAATGCCATCAAATTGATTGATTGAATGGTTTCCTGATGTAATGACTACCTATGTCAACCAAACTGCATTCATATTGACAATAAATACAATCTGACGAATGTTCAGCAATTATATGTGATATTCTGATATTATTTTGAAATAATGTTTTGTCCATTTTAATTAAATTATTTACTGGAAGAGCAACGTAAAAATAAATCATGTAAAGGGGAGATGCCCAATTTTTCCACTTTTCATAATACAAAGAAAGATGTTTTATCAAGACAATGGCAAATGAAGTAGTCAGTTCCATACTAAACATATATTTCACCTGAGTTCATTTACCTGTGTTTTTTTGGATATTGTATATATATAATAATAAGATGTTGTAAAGTCATATTTGTTATTTGTGGTGATTTTTAAAGTGCAGATGTAATTAAGATCAACATGACACTCAAATGAGTTCTTTTTAAGGCGTTGTAATGTGAAGTTGTTTGTCTAATTTTATGGGGCTTGTGTAATTTTATTGGGCTAGTATTTTACGGTTGTCCCAATTTCGCACAAGTTGATGAACTGGTGTACATATGTACATGCATTACAGATACTTTCTGAGATTCTCATTCATTTTTCTGGTGTCTTTATTGATGGTGAATATCGCAAAATGAAATTCCTGCCAATATTACCGATTACACAGGTGAACAATGAGGTAATGGGATTCAATACTACAAAATATAAATAATACAACAATATTATATATATTTCTCCTTATTTAAAGTTTATGTAGAAAGTTACCTTGCATTACCTGTACATGTATGTTAGTATTTTACTAGATTTTGCAATATAATTTTTCATTACTGAGCTCAATCGCCATTTTACGACAAGGAACAAATGAGTCACTCATATTATGAGTTTGAACGAAATCTTCTTTTGTTTGGGTGTTTCCAGGGAAACGATTGATTTTATACAAGTTTTTGCTATTACCATTAGGTTATGGTAATTTATGTAATGCCATATGTTATTGGTGGGTTTTTAGATCACCTGAGACAAAGGCTTGTGGTGACCTATTGTAATCATCTTCACTGGTGTCGTGCATCTGTAAACAATTTAAAATATTCAACTTCTCCTCAAAACTCCAGAGCTGATTTCAATGAAATTTGCAGAAACCTTCCCTGGCCTAAGATGAACCAAAATTGTGAATTATACATTCCCCACTCCATGGGGGCCTGAGGGGCAGGGCCAAAAGGGGTCAAATTTACTCAAATTTCAAAAATCTTCTTCTCAACACCCAGATATGGTAGAATCAAATTCTCTAAATAATCTTAAAAAATGGGTCTAATTGACTTAAATTTCAAAAATCTTCTCAACACCCAGATTTGGTATAATCAATTGCTCTGTATGAATGGAAGAATCTTCAGGTGCTTTAATTACCAAAATGGGTCTCATATTTCTTCCTGGGGAGTAACTTTTTTAAAACTTTTTTTCATAAAAAATTGCATATTTGAGCATTACAATGGTTATTTCCTACTTGAATTAACTTCGTAAGAATTATCAGCACAGGACAACAGTTTTCATGGTATACATGTATTGACACTGGCTTACTACATTCGATGTTACAATTTCTGTCTCATGACCCATGATAACTACCTAGTATATTCAATATTGCTTATCTCAGGTGACCGTCAAGACCACTTGGCCTCTTGTGTTATAGAAACAACTTTTCCAGGCTATGTAAATGGTGCAGTACTATATTCCCCAACCATTTTTTTAAAGCTTAGAACATGGACTTTGAACTTTTATTTTCTTCTCAATAAGTACACAGCTATGAAATGCTGATGTTAGAAATGTACCATGAGGTTTACTTTTAACATCTAAAATCATTTTACAATAAAAGATCAGGCTTTAAGCCACTTAATACATCATACAACTGCATGCAATGGACACCAGATGTTTCTTTTTTTTTAGATTTCAAAATAAGATGGGTTTTTTTTTCATGACTGATCATTATATCTTCATTATTGATGATATTCATCAATTTGAATGTCTCTAGTCAGCTTGAATGAAAGGTAATTGAAATGCTCAGTTTCTGTAAGAGTTCCCTCCCTTGAATTACCATGACTCTAATGCGTTACTCAAATGACAGGTTCTGTTACCAAAATTTGATTTTGCAAATGACAAACAAAATGTGTAGACAATAAAATGTTGATTGAGAGGCTGAACACACCGAAATCTTCACTAGTTGATGAACTGTTCATTGTTGAATTATTTCTGTTACCCATGTTTTCGGAATAACCATAAATTACTTAAAACAGAAAGTAGGACCGGAAAGACACCATCATGGAAATCTTTAATATGGGTCGTTATTATTGTGACATCTCTTTGGAATGTCGGGTGTTATCTAGCTCCAGTCGTGTGCCTGATAGAGCCCCATTATCAGTTCATTATGCTGGTATATTTATTGTACATCTTTACGTTGGTTAATTCAAATATTTGAGTTTCTACTGTTGTCCCAAATGTATGGTGCTTTTTTAGTACGGACGTAATATTTCTGAGAATTTCTGAAATTTGTACATAAATCCCGTGTTTAAATATGACAAGAATTTTTTTGAACATTCCTTGTTAGTTGTTCTGTTTGTCAGTATGGGGGATACATTCTTAAAATATCTTTTGATTTGTTTTAATAACTTTAAAATAACATTAATACTATGAAAATTATGAAACAATGACGAGTATGATTAGCACGGGAATGTGTGTTACTAATTAGGTTTGTATCTGGTGATGAGATGAGTGTGTGAAGTGATGTTGAAATGTTCGAATATTTCATGTACCAAGTATATAAAGTTATTTATTGATTTTTTTTTCAAATTGAAAAATAAAAGTCTTCTCTAAAAAAATCTTTTTTTTTTTTTTTGACAGATTTGATTTTTGGGGAAAAAAAATCATTCTTTCAAACAAGACCGATAAAATCTCAATAAAGTAATATCCAAATATGGAAGGAGACTAAGTTCTATACACAGAAAAACTCCGCTACACATTGATCATTATAAAGTGCTTTCCATTTACAGAAGACGAGACAGGAAATAGTGCTGCATTACAGATAAACATACAGAGCTGGAATTACACACATGAAAAATGGACGATAAGATAATATCCCAAAGAGAAATATCTTAGAAATAAATTTTCTTAGATGGAGTTTTGTAAAGATTAAAAACAAAGAGTCAATCGCAATGCCATGTCCAAAAGTTGTGATCTTGGAAATAATTGATATATGAGACTGTTATTCAGCAGAATTCTGTTTTTGAAAGATGTACTACAATACTGAAAAGTGATAATGACACCCGGATCATAATAGGTAAAATCTGGATTGGCTCAATGGATGAAAAATACAGTCTCTTTATCACGTATTCCCAGAGCGTACGTGGACGTTTAAGGGCTAATGGAGGCACGTCGGTGTTGCCAGTGTTGTTCTAGTATATAATTATATATATGTACTAGGATGGTGGGATTTAGTCCTAGGTTAAAGTTGTGAACTAAGAACATTATTTCTCTGAAAAGTGGAATTTGGACATGTTGTTGGTGATTCGGAAGAGTCAGCGTTTTCTGTTCCATCGACGACATCCGCTATGTAAACTGTGATCAATCCAAAGGAAGTAATGTTAGGCTTACAGTCAGTATTTCCGAACCTTCGATATAATTTTTTAATGAATATAAGATCAATTATGTAATGTTGGACACGCGTCGCGCACAGAACATGCGCATTTAATTGCTAAAGATATTTTTAAAATTGAGGATAAATGATCGATGTTACTTGAGCTGTCCTGTTATTGATTACGTACGTAAACACCACGAGGCAAACTTATTAACAGTCCACAAAGGCCACACAGCGTGGAGATAGAACGCTGGAAATGGGAGATGAATTTCTGTTACAAGCTGATATCACTTTTCTGCACTTTATTAGATCGAATAGGTGAAATTGCAGTTATGTATGTGGGATTCATACTGTTTCTGCGTATTAAAAGTTTCTGAGGGATTTCGAATATTCAATTCTATCAAGTTTTAGTAAAAGGTCTCATTTTTACCGGATTAATGTCCATAGATTATTTATAAGGTATAACGTGGTCCTGACCACAACGAGTTTAAGCCCAGAGAGAGATGTCTCCGGTTTTAGAGGCAGTTAAATGCTGTGTACTTACTGTTTTTACCCTATCTATATTGTAATTCTAAATTTGTCTTTAATGTAATATTAATTTTGTGTGATTTGTACGATATTGAACACGAATTTCTGTCAAGTCAATGCAACAATGTACAGGAAATGAAACTCGAGATAATTTAAAGTTGGTACTGGTGGGACTGACAATAACCTTTCTGTCTGGTGACAGAGCAATACCTGTGTGATCGATAGACTACATAAATAGCTGGCTGTATTAAGTCGACTACATCGGGTATATACTCAAAGAGTACCTGTGTACAGGGTCGACACAATATCAGGTTGACGTCATTTTATCAATAGATCTAACATAAGGTATTTTACTGTACCTGGCGAAGAAACAAGTACAGATTGGACAGCCATTATGATGGATTACTACACCGGACTTTTGTTTGTCCTAACTCTGCTGTTACAGTTTCGGGGTAAGCTGATAAGTTGTAGATTGTGTTCTGTCTGGCAATTTCACTGGTCAGATAATTGTTATAAAATGGACGCAATGTGTTGATAGACATTTAATTCCTGTGGTCTGTGTTGGGGTGGTAGTATGTACGTTCCATACTGTGGTCTGTTTTGGGGTGATAGCATGTACGTTCCATATCTGTGGACTGTGTTGGGGTGATAGTATGTACGTTCCATACCTGTGGTCTGTGTTGGGGTGATAGCATGTACGTTCCATACCTGTGGTCTGTGTTGGGGTGATAGTATGTACGTTCCATACCTGTGGTCTGTGTTGGGGTGATAGTATGTATGTTCCATACTCCTGGTCTGTGTTGGGATGATAGTATGTACGTTCCATACCCCTGGTCTGTTTTGGGGTGATAGCATGTACGTTCCATACCTGTGGTCTGTGTTGGGGTGATAGTATGTACGTTCCATACCCCTGGTCTGTGTTGGGGTGATAGTATGTACGTTCCATACCTGTGGTCTGTGTAGGGGTGGTAGTATGTACATTCCATACCTGTGGTCTGTGTTGGGGTGATAGTATGTACGTTCCATACCTGTGGTCTGTGTTGGGGTGATAGCATGTACGTTCCATACCTGTGGTCTGTGTTGGGGTGATAGTATGTACGTTCCATACCTGTGGTCTGTGTTGGGGTGATAGTATGTACGTTCCATACTCCTGGTCTGTGTTGGGGTGGTAGTATGTACGTTCCATACCCCTGGTCTGTTTTGGGGTGATAGCATGTACGTTCCATATCTGTGGACTGTGTTGGGGTGATAGTATGTACGTTCCATACCCCTGGTCTGTGTTGGGGTGATAGTATGTACGTTCCATACCTGTGGTCTGTGTAGGGGGTGATAGTATGTACATTCCATACCTTTGGTCTGTATTGGGGTGATAGTATGTACGTTCCATACCTGTGGTCCGTGTTGGGGTGATAGTATGTACGTTCCATACCTGTGGCCTGTGTTGGGGTGGTAGTACGTACGTTCCATACCTGTGGTCCGTGTTGGGGTGGTAGTATGTACGTTCCATACCTGTGGTCTGTGTTGGGGTGGTAGTATGTACGTTCCATACCTCTGTCTGTGTTGGGGTGATAATATGTACGTTCCATACCTGTGGTCTGTGTTGGGGTGATAGTATGTACGTTCCATACCTGTGGTCTGTTTTGGGGTGATAGCATGTACGTTCCATACCTGTGGTCTGTGTTGGGGTGATAGTATGTACGTTCCATACCCCTGGTCTGTTTTGGGGTGATAGCATGTACGTTCCATACCTGTGGTCTGTGTTGGGGTGATAGTATGTACATTCCATACCCCTGGTCTGTGTTGGGGGTGATAGTATGTACGTTCCATATCTGTGGTCTGTGTTGGGGTGATAGTATGTACGTTCCATACCACTGGTCTGTGTTGCGGTGATAGCATGTACGTTCCATACCTGTGGTCTGTGTTAGGGTGATAGTATGTACGTTCCATACCTGTGGTCTGTGTTGGGATGATAGTATGTACGTTCCATACCTGTGGTTTGTGTTGGGGTGATAGTATGTACGTTCCATACCTCTGTCTGTGTTGGGGTGATAGTATGTACATTCCATACCTGTGGTCTGTGTTTGGGTGGTAGTATGTACGTTCCATACCCCTGGTCTGTGTTGGGGTGATAGCATGTACGTTCCATACCTGTGGTCTGTGTTGGGGTGATAGTATGTACGTTCCATACCCCTGGTCTGTTTTGGGGTGATAGTATGTACGTTCCATACCTGTGGTCTGTGTTGGGGTGATAGTATGTACGTTCCATACCTGTGGTCTGTGTTGGGGTGATAGTATGTACGTTCCATACCTGTGGTCTGTGTTGGGGTGATAGTATGTACGTTCCATACCTGTGGTCTGTGTTGGGGTGGTAGTATGTACGTTACATACCCCTGGTTTGTGTTGGGTGGTAGTATGTACGTTCCATACCTGTGGTTTGTGTTGGGGTGATAGTATGTACGTTCCATACCTCTGTCTGTGTTGGGGTGATAGTATGTACGTTCCAAACCTCTGTTTGTGTTGTGGTGATAGCATGTACGTTCCATACCTGTGGTCTGTGTTGGGGTGATAGTATGTACGTTCCATACCTGTGGTTTGTGTTGGGGTGATAGTATGTACGTTCCATACCTCTGTCTGTGTTGGGGTGATAGTATGTACGTTCCAAACCTCTGTTTGTGTTGTGGTGATAGCATGTACGTTCCATACCTGTGGTCTGTGTTGGGGTGATAGTACGTTCCATACCTGTGGTCTGTGTTGGGGTGATAGTATGTACGTTCCATACCTGTGGTCTGTGTTGGGGTGATAGTATGTACGTTCCATACCTGTGGTCTGTGTTGGGGTGATAGTATGTACGTTCCATACCTGTGGTCTGTGTTGGGGTGATAGTATGTACGTTCCATACCTGTGGTCTGTGTTGGGGTGATAGTATGTACGTTCCATACCTGTGGTCTGTGTTGGGGTGATAGTATGTACGTTCCATACCTGTGTTGGGGTGGTCTGTGTTGGGGTGATAGTATGTACGTTCCATACCTGTGGTCTGTGTTGGGGTGATAGTATGTACGTTCCATACCTGTGGTCTGTGTTGGGGTGATAGCATGTACGTTCCATACCTGTGGTCTGTGTTGGGGTGATAGTATGTACGTTCCATACCTGTGGTCTGTGTTGGGGTGATAGTATGTACGTTCCATACCTGTGGTCTGTGTTGGGGGTGATAGTATGTACGTTCCACGTTCCATACCTGTGGTCTGTGTTGGGGTGATAGTATGTACGTTCCAAACCTCTGTTTGTGTTGTGGTGATAGCATGTACGTTCCATACCTGTGGTCTGTGTTGGGGTGATAGTATGTATGTTCCATACCTGTGGTCTGTGTTGGGGTGATAGTATGTACGTTCCATACCCCTGGTCTGTGTTGGGATGATAGCATGTACGTTCCATACCTGTGGTCTGTGTTGGGGTGATAGTATGTACGTTCCATACCCCTGGTCTGTTTTGGGGTGATAGTATGTACGTTCCATACCTGTGGTCTGTGTTGGGGTGATAGTATGTTCCATACTGTGTTGGGGTGATAGTATGTTCCATACCTGTGGTCTGTGTTGGGGTGTATGTACATGTGTTGTTCCATACCTGTGGTCTGTGTTGGGGTGTTATTATGTTCTTTCCTTACCTCTGTCTGTGTTGGGGTGATACTATGTACGTTCCATACCTGTGGTCTGTGTTGGGGTGATAGTATGTACGTTCCATACCTGTGGTCTGTGTTGGGGTGATAGTATGTACGTTCCATACCTGTGGTCTGTGTTGGGGTGATAGTATGTACGTTCCATACCTCTGGTCTGTGTTGGGGTGATAGTATGTACGTTCCATAACCCTGGTCTGTGTTGGGGTGATAGTATGTACGTTCCATACCTGTGGTCTGTGTTGGGGTGATAGTATGTACGTTCCATACCTGTGGTCCGTGTTGGGGTGATAGTATGTACGTTCCATACCTGTGGGCTGTGTTGGGGTGGTAGTAGGTACGTTGGGGTGTTAGTATGTACGTTCCATACCTGTGGTCTGTGTTGGGGTGATACGTTCCATACCTGTGGTCTGTGTTGGGGTGCATGTACGTTCCATACCTGTGGTCTGTGTTGGGGTGATAGTATGTACGTTCCATACCTGTGGTCTGTGTTGGGGTGATAGTATGTACGTTCCATACCTGTGGTCTGTGTTGGGGTGATAGTATGTACGTTCCATACCTGTGGTCTGTGTTGGGGTGTTAGTATGTACTTTCCATACCTGTGGTCTGTGTTGGGGTGATAGTATGTACGTTCCATACCTGTGGTCTGTGTTGTGTTGTGGTCTGTGTGGTAGTATGTACGTTCCATACCTGTGGTCTGTGTTGGGGGTGATAGTATGTACGTTCCATACCTGTGGTCTGTGTTGGGGTGGTAGTATGTACGTTCCATACCTGTGGTCTGTGTTGGGGGTGATAGTATGTACGTTCCATACCTGTGGTCTGTGTTGGGGTGGTAGTATGTACGTTCCATACCCTAGTATGTACGTTCCATACCTGTGGTTTGTGTTGGGTGATAGTATGTACGTTCCATACCTCTGTCTGTGTTGGGGTGATAGTATGTACATTCCATACCTGTGGTCTGTGTTTGGGTGGTAGTATGTACGTTCCATACCTGTGGTCTGTGTTGGGATGCATACCTGTGGTCTGTGTTTGGGTGGTAGTATGTACGTTCCATACATCTGTCTGTGTTGTGGTGATAGTATGTACGTTCCATACCTGTGGTCTGTGTTGGGGGTGATAGTATGTACGTTCCATACCTGTGGTCTGTGTTGGGGTGATAGTATGTACGTTCCATACCTGTGGTCTGTGTTGGGGTGATAGTATGTACGTTCCATACCTGTGGTCTGTGTTGGGGTGATAGTATGTACGTTCCATACCTGTGGTCTGTGTTGGGGTGATAGTATGTACGTTCCATCTGTGGTCATACCTGTGGTCTGTGTTGGGGTGATAGAATGTACGTTCCATACCTGTGGTCTGTGTTGGGATGATAGAATGTACGTTCCATACCGTGTGGTCTGTGTTGTGGTGATAGTATGTACGTTCCATACCTGTGGTCTGTGTTGTGGTGATAGTATGTACGTTCCATACCTGTGGTCTGTGTTGGGGGTGATAGTATGTACGTTCCATACCTGTGGTCTGTGTTTGGGTGATAGTATGTACGTTCCATACCTGTGGTCTGTGTTGGGGGTGATAGTATGTACGTTCCATACCTGTGGTCTGTGTTGGGGTGATAGTATGTACGTTCCATACCTGTGGTCTGTGTTGGGGTGATAGTATGTACGTTCCATACCTGTGGTCTGTGTTGGGGTGATAGTATGTACGTTCCATACCTGTGGTCTGTGTTAGGGTGATAGTATGTACGTTCCATACCTGTGGTCTGTGTTGGGATGATAGTATGTACGTTCCATACCTGTGGTCTGTGTTGGGGTGATAGTATGTACGTTCCATACCTGTGGTCTGTGTTGGGGTGATAGTATGTACGTTCCATACCTGTGGTCTGTGTTGGGGTGATAGTATGTACGTTCCATACCTGTGGTCTGTGTTGGGGTGATAGTATGTACGTTCCATACCCCTGGTCTGTGTTGGGGTGATAGTATGTACGTTCCATACCCCTGGTCTGTGTTGGGGGTGATAGTATGTACGTTCCATACCTGTGGTCTGTGTTGGGGTGATAGTATGTACGTTCCATACCTGTGGTCTGTGTAGGGGTGGTAGTATGTACATTCCATACCTGTGGTCTGTGTTGGGGTGATAGTATGTACGTTCCATACCACTGGTCTGTGTTGGGGTGGTAGTATGTACGTTCCATACCCCTGGTCTGTGTTAGGGTGGTAGTATGTACGTTCCATACCCCTGGTCTGTTTTGGGGTGATAGTATGTACGTTCCATACCTGTGGTCTGTTTTGGGGTGGTAGTATGTACGTTCCATACCTGTGGCCTGTGTTGGGGGTGATAATATGTACGTTCCATACCCCTGGTCTGTGTTGGGGTGATAGTATGTACGTTCCATACCTGTGGTCTTTGTTGGGGTGATAGTATGTACGTTCCATACCTGTGGTCTGTGTTGGGGTGATAGTATGTACGTTCCATACCCCTGGTCTGTGTTGGGGGTGATAGTATGTACATTCCATACCTGTGGTCTGTGTTGGGGGTGATAGTATGTACGTTTTCCTCCTTGTCTGTGATGAGATGATATTCCATGTTTTCAAATGATGGCGTTTGGACTTTGTCTTTCTCGACCAGTTTTGTTGGTGATATGTTGAGCTTTGTCGTGCACGGTATCGGTAAATAAGACACACACGCACACACACACACGCACACACACACACACACACACACACACACACACACACACACACACACGTGTTTTTCCCGTGGTAACACATCTCGTTTCACTCGTTTCAACATTCGATATACCTTAGTTTTCAAAGCCTTCCTTTTTCTCGTTGATTTGACACGGTTGTGATGTTTTAGGATACCGCCAATTTGTTAGCAAGTATCAATAGACACAAAGAGGACGCTGTATTGGAATGAATAAACGTAAAAAAATATTGTTTACACGTAGTGAAACCAGATCTGTCAGGAACGGATCCCTCAAACGAGTGTCCTTCATAAACACATACACAACTTTGAAAGAATGAAGATAAATAAGTCGTTTTGGAATCTCTTACGCAATGTTAATCGCGAACGTATACATATGTTATCAACAGATATCTGTACTGTATCTGTATGTATTGATCATATGAGAGAAAATAGTAGTTAAACTGTCTATTGAAACACACACCTTTTTCAAACAGATTATTCTTAGGTAGAAAATCTCTTTGTATGTAATTGCCCTGTATACGTTACACCACAGAAATGTTCCCGTATATCTATCGTGAAAGAAAGTGTACCTATAATATGCCTAAAACATCATGACGTCACAAGTTGCCATTAGTAACTTGGTATAAAGACAAGCACTACCGCCTAATAGGTATTGTGAAGAGCGGGTTTCGTTCTATGCATGAAACATTCATTGTATAGTTTTATTAAAGTCCACGAATCCAAGTAGATTAAAGGTCATTTTTTAGACCAGTCCTACACTTCCTGGTTTAAACAATGATATTTTACACCGAGTGGATATGTGATAAAAGACACACTAGTTGTAGAATCAGTGTACCCGAATCATCAATTAAACTGCATTATCGTCAGTGATATATGTAAATGAACACTTAGCACCACCTAAAAAAAAAAAAAACATATTAAAAAAAAAAAAATAATAAAAAATAAAAAATAAAAAAACTGAACATCCGTACAACTGTTGCACACTGATGCAGGCTTAATTTTTAACATTGTTAGGATAATGTTATCAAATTCAATGCCTAGATCTTGTTGGTATAGATGTGGAAGTGGGACTTACTAAGAAACAAGTTTTGAAGAGGTAAACAGGTGATACAGCTTGTACTTTAATCACTGTAGTGTTCAATAGCTATAGTTCAGAATAACAGGGGAAGTAACTCGTGCTTCCAATCTAGTTCAGTAGTAAGTGTCTGGTAAAAAAGAGTTATAGTTCTTTGTTAGGAGCCAGGGGTTGATTAAAAGAGCGGCCATTTAAGCTTACAGCAGAGCTGTCTTATTATGATTAGATTTAATTCGACACGACAATCAACTTTTGTGATGTTTTAAACTTTAAATTGTTACGGGTACTCGTTATTAAAAGTATAAATACATTGTATTTATCTTTGATGAAAATATACGCGACGAGGTTAAATAGTGTTTTATGAGACACTGAGAAAATTTTCGTTATTATCACTTGGCTTGAATTAATGTATTATAACCAAGGACATATGTTCCTTACATGTATGTTTTACATAATACACTGAATACAAAACACAGAGAAATAGGTAGATGTCTATTGTCTTCATTGCGTCATATATATGACCTACTCATACAAGGACACCCCGTGGTAACTCTACTATATGTGCACTTTAATGTACTTTGTGTATTTAATGAGCTCTTTAATTTGTTAAGTATAATTGCACCAATAAATATAGATATGTTAAGTCTTACACGTGATAAAATACAATTTATATCTAATGATGGCCTGGAGTAGTTCCTCCTTTTAAATAAATATCATTAACATATCTTCACAGATAGAGTCCTAGAAAATATAACATTTTAATTCCTGTGTATTTCTGAAATCCTAATTACATCATGGTTATTTATAGATTGATGACTTTATGAATCTCAGTAAAATACAAATCACCATGCAGTACTACGGGGAAAATACGTGAAACACCCATCTCTAAGAAATTTCACACTTTCGCGGAGTCAATTTATATCGTTAGGGGATTGAAAAATAAAAAAAATTTCCAATGTACGGGTATTTATTTGTTATACTTAAATAGACATTATATAAACAGACCAATCACTGGAAAGTTTTCTACCGAAAGAAATCTTCCACCTCCTTGGAAGCGAGATAGGTGAATCTCAACATAAGTGGAAATATAACTAAGTTAGCAATCACGATGCTTGCCGAATGTGTGGAACTTAAACATCTTTTCCCGATGATTGAGAGTACCCCATCTCACCAACGTGGGGGTTTCATATATATATATAATAAGGTATCATTAAACATAAGTTAACACAAAAATGAAATTTAATGTAATTTTCATATTCACATTGAGACAAAATTTGCTGTAAAACGTTTGAAGAGATTTTGACCTGTGAACAGTTACTACGCGGCTGAAAACATGGCGGCAACCTACAGTTGTCACTGTTGATGACACGAATCCCCTCGGAATGTCTAACGTATTAGCTCATCATTCAAAAGGTTCAGCTGGGGATTAGATTTGATCCCTGATACGGTTATTTGCGTTGTATTGTTTGCTGATTTTCATGGAAATGAACGTTACCATGGAAATGAAAGCCGTGTCACAAGTAAACAACCCCATCAGATGTTTGGGTTTTTGCACCGGGCTTTATGATTTGTCAGTTTTATCAGATGATTTGTGTTCTCTCTTTTCATTGGTGTAAATCTGCAAAACTAAAAATAACAAAAAGGAAAACGCGTTTTACCTGTCTAGGGTAAGAAAAATGTTGATCCAGTGAAAAACAAATTATATAAGATACTTAATATTTTTATACAATAATATTATTTTTTGATGATATTTCTTATAGGAAATGAACTATGTTTTATTGCGTTTACAATGGTATTTCCGCAATTGAATATAGACAAATTCTTTATTCTGTCGAGTCTAAATCACACGTATCATAGTTAAATATAAATATGTGAAGTTTACTGTAATGAAAATAGTTTTGTGCATATTGTCTTCATTTTGTCTTTGACATCATTTTTTTTTGCAGGTTATCTCTGTGGGAGCTCTTGTTACGAACGAGAGTACAACATCTTCTATGGAAATTACTACTACTCCTACTATGGTTACTGTAGTTACGGTTGCTGTGGTTACACGACCTCACGCTACTGTTGCTACGCGTATTATGACGCGTATACTTCTGTATCAATATCGTAAGTATAAGTATTACTTCAGAAACGACAAGTTTACTTCTGTTTCAGTGTCGAAGTATTACTCCACTAAATGGTTTCTCTACACTTGCTCAGTTTATTGAATGCAAGCCTTATAATATGTTGTCTTACTTTGATTACTGTGTGGTATATTAATGCAATATTCTTCTGCTAGGCACGAGCACCCTTGTGACTAATAAATGAGGAATACTGTTGGTATTTTTTTCTCACAACTTTTCATATTACGGTCGATATTGGTTGACAAGGGCTGATGTCCAAAGTAATTGTTATCTTATAATGAGCATAAATTGATTGAGTCTATGAGCCTTATCTAAGGCATCAAGCCTGACGACATTGGAGTGTTAATAAGGGAGACAAATATCATTATCACTATGTGATAAAGAACACACACCAGCAACTTGTTTTCGGTATCACAAAGAAGTCGTTTTTCCTGTTTCTCTAACCTATGGCGTTTGTATGTCACAGTGAACAGTTATAACACTATTCAGAGGAGGGAAAAAAGACCGACTGGACATGAATAATTACAGGGATATAACATTAGCATAAGTGATGCAAAAGCTTCTTGAGAAGATTTTGTATAGGCGAATAGTGAAGCGTTGTTCAAAAATTAAATTTCCGCACAAATTTCAACAAGGATTCCGGCCTCAATGTGGCAGAATAACAGCCGCCTTTACTGTTAAGGGGTCGATATGTCATTATCTGGAACGTAACTTTAAAGTTTTTGCAGCGTTTCTTGACAATGCAAAAGCCTTTAACAGCGTCTGGATACAGGGACTGCTGTACAAGGTATACCAATTAGGCTTTAACGGAAAATTCTGGAGGATACTAAAGGATTCGTTTCATGTAGTGACAGCTTGTGTATTATACAATGGACAAAAGAGTGAGGAGTACCCTATTGAACAAGGGGTCGGTCAGGGAAGGACTGTCTCTGCATGGCTATTCCTCGTCATGATTAATAACTTAGCAACTAAGTTAGAGGTAAGCGGTCTTGGACTCGGTATTCAAAATCCACACATCCCTTGTGTTTTCCTAGCAGACGATACCTTATTATTAACAGCTTCAATCCGGAATATACGATTGCAGTTAGACATTGTGCATGATTATGCAAAAACTTGGAGACTAAACTACAATTCATTAAAGTCAACATTGATGCAGTTTACATGTCGGAAACGTCTTCCAAAGGAACCAGGGTTTCAGTGTTGTTTAGGAAATACTCCAATACTCTGGGAAACATCAAAAGTATACGCGGGAATAACATTATGTTCCAACCTTAACCCGACAAGCATATCGTAAATTCGTGCGGAAAGGGGCGTGCAATTGTTAATAGCCTTATAAATATTGGGATGCACCAGGATGGCATCAACCCACAAAGTAGTTTAAGAATTTTCAACTCAGTTGTTCTTCCAGTTATGCTGTACGGATGTGAACTGTGGGCAGCACCAGTCAAGTCATCAATGGTAGAATTAGAACTTACGCAAAAATACGCCGCGAGGAGATATCAGGGTTTCAAAAAGACAACGCCATCAGCAATAACTACAAGGGCTCTTGGGCAAACAAATGTTTGGTGTGAGGTTGAAAAACGCAAACTATTTTTCTGGAATAAATTATGTAATGCTAGCAGTGAGTTCATTTGGAAAACCCTATTTATTGTTCGATTATGTAGCTTCGTGTTTGGACAATACACATCCCACAAAGCTAGTTTTATCAGAGATATATCGGAGACAATGCCAAAATTTGGTAACATTCGTTCTTTATGGAATTTGTATTTTCTTCTTTGAAATGCAGCGCGGGGCAATGGAAGCGTTTTATCAAGAACGTTACCGAAGTGTATTATTTCACTCAGTGGTGTAATAGGTGTGATAACAGTGTGTTTCTGGAACATTATAGACGTATACATCCTCATATAGGCGCGAATCCTCTATGAAAGCTTAGCTTAAAGTATCCAAAGCTGACATGGGCAATTGCTGAGTTTGTTAAGCTCTATTATAGGACAGTGACAGAGTGTGTAATTTGTAAACTATGTCAAAAATCAACAACAAACACTACAAAGCATTTTCTTATCCAATGCCCAGCCTTATTCAGTAGTAGAGATATGCAGTAAACAATTATGTCAAATTTGATTTGTTAGATGAAGACGATCAGTATTTGTTTCTACTAGGGAGCAGATGAATAATAGAGGTGGAAGACGATGAATGGGAGGATTGCATTGCTGGAGTCGCACGATGTGTGGGACACATGCTTTGTGAAGTAAACATTCTTCTTGCGAATTGACATATCTTAGATGACGTAACTGTTGACGTCAATATGTACATTACGTGTAAAACTGTCAATAATTGCAGTAATGACTGTATAATATATTGCCACTTAATTCCATTTATACCTTTATTCTATTGAAATTGTAAAATAGGACATGATATGTGATCTCTGTATGGAGGAAATAAAGAAACTGTCTGTCTGTCTGTCAACGCAGGATTCACCAAATATCGGTACATTGAAGGCAAACTGACAACGCAGGATTCACCAAATATAGGCCCATTGAAGGGAAACTGACAATGCAGGATTCACAAAATATCAGTACATTGAAGGCAAACAGACAATGCAGGACTCACCAAATATAGGTACATTGAAGGCAAACAGACAATGCAGGACTCACCAAATATCGGTACATTGAAGGCAAACTGACAACGCAGGATTCACCAAATATAGGCCCATTGAAGGCAAACTGACAACACAGGATTCACCAAATATCGGTCCATTGAAGGCAAACTGACAACGCAGGATTCACCAAATATCGGTACATTGAAGGCTAACTGACAACGCAGGATTTACCCAATATCGGTACATTGAAGGCAAACTGACAACGCAGGATTAACCAAATATAGGCCCATTGAAGGCAAACTGACAACGCAGGATTAACCAAATATAGGCCCATTGAAGGCAAACTGACAACGCAGGATTCACCAAATATCGGTACATTGAAGGCTAACTGACAACGCAGGATTTACCCAATATCGGTACATTGAAGACTAACAACGCAGTATTTACCAAATATAGGTCTATTGAAGGCAAACAAACAATGCAGGATTCACCAAATATAGGCCCATTGAAGGCAAACTGACAACACAGGATTCACCAAATATCGGTCCATTGAAGGCAAACTGACAACACAGGATTCACCAAATATCGGTACATTGAAGGCAAACTGACAACGCAGGATTCACCAAATATAGGCCCATTGAAGGCAAACTGACAACACAGGATTCACCAAATATCGGTACATTGAAGGCTAACACAAAATACAGGGTTCGACAGATACAGGTGTCTGGTGGCTGACTTACAACACAGAAATTGTTAGAAACCGATCTGTGAAGGCTAACATATAACACAGAATTTGGTTAACACATGTCAATAAAGGCTTTGGGAAAGTGTTAGACATCTACAATGATCTTATCAGGAAAAAATATTCTATTTCCCTACGCGATATGAAGTTGGACATGTTTAAAGGTCATTAGTAAACCTGGCGGTTGTAGTTCTGTCCGAACAACTTATGGTAAAGAATATGAAATAAAGTTGTAGTTCTGTCCGAACAACTTATGGTAAAGAATATGAAATAAAGTTGTAGTTCTGTCCGAACAACTTATGGTAAAGAATATGAAATAAAGTTGTAGTTCTGTCCGAACAACTTATGGAAAAGAATATGAAAAAAAGTTGTAGTTCTGTCCGAACAACTTATGGTAAAGAATATGAAATAAAGTTGTAGCTCTGTCCGAACAACTTATGGTAAAGAACATGAAATAAAGTTGTAGTTCTGTCCGAACAACTTATGGTAAAGAATATGAAATAAAGTTGTAGTTCTGTCCGAACAACTTATGGTAAAGAATATGAAATAAAGTTGTAGTTCTGTCCGAACAACTTATGGTAAAGAATATGAAATAAAGTTGTAGTTCTGTCCGAACAACTTATGGTAAAGAATATGAAATAAAGTTGTAGTTCTGTCCGAACAACTTATGGTAAAGAATATGAAATAAAGTTGTAGTTCTGTCCGAACAACTTATGGTAAAGAATATGAAATAAAGTTGTAGTTCTGTCCGAACAACTCATGGTAAAGAATATGAAATAAAGTTGTAGTTCTGTCCGAACAACTTATGGTAAAGAATATGAAAAAAAGTTGTAGTTCTGTCCGAACAACTTATGGTAAAGAATATGAAATAAAGTTGTAGTTCTGTCCGAACAACTTATGGTAAAGAATATGAAATAAAGTTGTAGTTCTGTCCGAACAACTTATGGTAAAAAACCTATAATAAAACCATCAGAATCAATTGTAAAGAATCTTAAAAGACAAATTACATATAGAAATGATGACGGTGAAGAGAGATCAAACAGTTTTCCATCCTAGATATATAATGATATGTGTTACCCTGTGTATCTGATTCTAATTTTGTTGTGTGTTATTCACTTGTATTTGTCTTGTTTCTTGACAGAGTTGGTGTAATCGTCGGAAGCATCATTGGTGGTCTCGTCTTCCTCGGCGTGCTGATAACGGTTGTGATTTGTTGTATCTGCAAATGTTCCGACCGAAAACCGAATCGTGGAGCTGTGGTAGCTCCAGCGACAGGAGGGACCCAAGGTGTCGCCATAGGTACGTCAGAAACTTGTCGTTTACTTTATTTAAGGTTGATCTACGACATTCCGGATCAACCAAACCCGTCAAAATTGTAATAAGTTTGAAAGTGGACGGTACTTCTATTTTAATATATACTTATCGAACATTTACATTCTTTGTAAGGAAGACAACTACCCACTGAGCGTAAGTTTTTTTTTGTTTTAAAACTGACAATACACTAGTCTGTACTTGCAGGTTTTTGAAATTAGAAAAGGGGTTGATGTGGTAGTTTCCTTATATGGTGGCATTTTGCTGAAGAGTTCACGAAATCATAGTATTACTAGACAACTGTAAAGTCTATTGTTTATGTATCAAATTTTCGCTGTTGATTGTTTCTTCTATAAATTAAGAAGCAGTCTTATGATTAACCCTTATTACTCTTAAACGTAAGTTATCTATTGTTTAAGGTTTTGATTAGTTTCGGAAGATAGCGGCATATATTACCTCTGGAGAATAACGATGATTAGTGTTTATTTGATTATTTAATCCTAAATTCTAATCATCCTAACATAACATATCATACCGTCATGGAATAGCAGTTGTGACAATTGTTACTTTACTTTATAACTATTTTGCGTAATCCTTTGTTTATACACAGTAAGCACTCACCTGAACATGCAGCCTCAACAGTACTACCAAATGCACAGTCGGCCAGCCCAAATAGTTCAACCTCCGGCCTACAACACTGGGCACATATCTGTGGCGTATCCACAACCGCAACCGCCAACGTGTCCCCCGCCAGCCTACCCTCCCCCACCGCCCGCTGAATGTCCACCTCCTCCGCCGGACTATCCTACCCCACCGCCCGCTGAATGTCCACCTCCTCCGCCTAACTATCATCCATCTGCGGCTGTGGAAGAACCTGAAACTCCAATGACACCTTTTGAAGTACCGGATCTCGCCCCATCTGGATTGAATAACGCTCCACCGGCATCAACACAAGTTACCCGATAGAACGCTGGCATTCTAGAACCAGATCTAATTATATATGTATTAGTCATGGGAATTTTCGGACGCAATATTCTCTTCTTCAAAGTCCCACAATATGTCCTGAGGTTGAAAAAAGCGAAATTGCATTTAACCTACATACAACGTTTTATCGGCAGCAAAACACACCGATGAAATTATTTACTTGGATTTTGTAATTTTCTAAATATAATGTTCTTATCAAGATTGTATTTTTCGATAATTTTACATTCTAAAATGGCGACCGCTGAAAGCATGTAGTTGCGTGACGTATTTGTGCCACTTTAGTTAGTAGAGAGAATAAGATTATGTACAAACTTATTTTATGCATTGGTCGATATATCTAAAAGTCCCGATTTGTTTTTTGTTATAATTTAATGTTATTTCAGTTTTTTATAAAGTCAAGATTCGTTCTTGTTGAGAATGTGTTATTTACACGTGTGTCGAGAGGAGGGGACGCTTATCAATATCATAAATACACTTTATCTATTCATGATTAAATCGGTGTATAATAGTAAGACGATACACGGTGTCGAGATGAGGGGGTTTATCAATATCATAAATACACTTTATCTATTGATGATTAAATCGGTGTATAATAGTAAGACGATACACGTGTGTCGAGATGAGGGGGTTTATCAATATCATAAATACACTTTATCTATTGATGATTAAATCGGTGTATAATAGTAAGACGATACACGTGTGTCGAGATGAGGGGGTTTATCAATATCATAAATACACTTTATCTATTGATGATTAAATCGGTGTATAATAGTAGGATGATACACGTGTGTCGAGATGAGGGGGTTTATCAATATCATAAATACACTTTATCTATTGATGATTAAATCGGTGTATAATAGTAGGACGATACACGTGTGTCGAGATGAGGGGGTTTATCAATATCATAAATACACTTTATCTATTGATGATTAAATCGGTGTATAATAGTAGGACGATACACTTGTGTCGAGATGAGGGGGTTTATCAATATCATAAATACACTTTATCTATTGATGATTAAATCGGTGTATAATAGTAGGACGATACACGGTGTCGAGATGAGGGGGTTTATCAATATCATAAATACACTTTATCTATTGATGATTAAATCGGTGTATAATAGTAGGATGATACACGTGTTTCGAGATGAGGGAGCGCTAGTTTATTCACATCAATATAATTTTATCTGTATACAAACACTAATTTTCAGATATTATCATTCAAATACAGCATGATTTTGACATTTTCTTTCTTCAGTTTTGGTTTAAGTTATACCCTTAACATTATTGACGAGTTCTAGTAGGACAACACAACTGTATGATACAGTTTGTTCATTATGTGACTGTACCATATCTAGTTCTATCTTTGTATTGAAAGATACTCATCACCTAAGTTCCGTGTGTGTAATGTTTTAGTCAGTAGCCGCTTGTTAGTGTTATTAACATATTTGATGTCAAGAAATACACAATTATTTATATTGATAATTTACCGACTATTATCAGTTACCAATAACGATATTTTTTCCAGTTATTGGTAACCAACTCTACCCCTACTTCGGCGTGTCATCCTATACTTCCAAAAGCGTTAGAATTAGTCTTTATAAACACAAGTCCTTGTCTTGTTCCCTATTTCGGATTTTTATTGTCACTCTCTGATGAATAACGAGATGGTGTAAGTGGATATTTTTATCTAATTAGCTTTACATTCACTATTACGGCCTTTCTGCCTTTTTAACAGACGTCAAAAAGTCAGAATGTGAGAGGAATGGGTACAGCATGAAGTGAAAGTAGATAGCAGAAGGGGGTCATTGATATAATGATACTGTAAACGTACAAATATTAGCGGTGATTTTATTTGAACGCGTTTCATGCTAAAAAGATTTGTTTATGTAGCTATAATTGTAAATGTGCCATTTGATCATAATTTGAATAAAATGGTAGGGCCAAATAAAGTACGTTTAGAGTTCTGTTTTTGAAAACTTTATATTACAAGAAACATTCTGCTTTTTATTACTGTACCGTTTGTTTTGACATTTTGTAAGCCCATTTTTTTGTCCCTGTACTTTAAGAAAGTCTCGATTGATTTTAAATGCGATTGTGACTGATAAGTCTATATACTCTTATTGTTTGTGATATTTTTGAAAAAGTTTGCAGCATTTACAATACCAGTTTTAATCCGTCCACAGGTAACTTACTTTAAACAGTATTAATCCCAAATCTTATATGCATTCTATTTTTTCAATGGCGATCAACTTTGTATTTGTCACTGCAAAATATAAGTATGTATATACATGTTTATAACTTGATATCATTTGTATATACATGATTTTCATTTCATATATGTATTTAGATGAAGTGTGATAATAGATTTGTATTCATCCACTACTGTCTAACTGTATATTGAAAAATCTCAACTTCATAATTGTCTGCTTTATCACGAATTGTGTCAGAATCAAATACATCTATGTTTTGTCCTAAGAAAAAAATGTCTGTTCGTTTAAAGATAATTCGTCTATCTGACAGTTATGAAATAAAAGTTATCTTCTATTTCTCATGGTTTTGAGATATGACAATTTTATTTGATATGCAATTTTCTTAGTGTTCCTAAAGTATCTAATTAAAGATGTACTCCTCTGATGTTTTAACCCGAAGTAAGACATAATTCAATATAAAAGTGAATTCCAACATAATATCGTGGACTTTGGTAGGCTTATACACTATGAGGGCGTGATTCGGTTAATAGCGTCAACAATTTTAACGTTTCCTGGTTACTAAGGGGTTCTCTTGTGTATAACTCTGGAAATCGAAGATAAATTTCAACTAAATTTGGCATGAATTATCACCACAAATCACAGATTTTAAATTCCTGAATTCCGACTTGGTGGATCACTTTCCAGGGTTTTAGGACCAGAAACAAATAATTCATCTTTTTTCTTGATCTTGAATAAAGTGTCTCGTTCGGGGGAAAAAGCACAATGATTCCCTCCTTTTAAATTATGCATTATGTATCATCGAAAATTTCTCTATCCAAATATAAGGTCTTAAAAAAGTTAGATACAAGAATATAGTCAAATTAAGGATTTAATTATTTTTCAAATTATTTCAGTTTTTGGTTGCTGTATAAAAAGCAAGGAATAAAAAAAATCTCATATATATATATGTGTGTGTGTGTGTGTGTGTGTGTGTAACCTAAACTGATCATTGATCAACAGTGACACATATTACTAAAGAACACAATTAACCTAATGTTTGACATAATGAACCCATATCAATGCTGAAAGTAAGAGTCATTTACCAGCATGTCGTTCTTATATATATATAGCTTGCTTTATAGTTTTCAGCTACATAATAATAGAATCACGAAGGAAGGTTTTCTGGTCGTCATAGAGATATTTTTGATAAAAGACTCTATTTCTCTGTGTGATATGGAGGTGGGAATGTGTTATGCTCGTTGGTTTGCCTGTTGGTTCCTTTGTTGTATACCTTGTACTTTATTGACATACTTAGATTACATGGTGGTTGTCGTCGATGATGCAGTAGTCCTTGTAATATTTCCAGTATACACCATGTAAATCTTTTGTTCATATTTTCCCTTGTTTGAGTTTGGATTATGATTCTGTTCACATGTTATTTTCCTTGTAGTTTTCATTCTCAAATAACCATACTCGTTGATATTTATTTATTTTTTTGTTTTTTTTTTTTGTTTTTTTGCTGTTGATGTTTTTTAATCAAAACTACCAGTAATATTTTACTGACGTTTTCTGCTATGTAGTTTTAATGACTATGTCGTGAATTGATTATTTGCAAATCAAGTTTGCGTACATAAGTTAATGCTTTTCACTGTATGCCTAAGTTTTTGTGTGTGTGCATACTATTTTCTACGCTTACAAATCACACTAAAGAAGAAAACACCGTCAAAGCTAGATTAACTAGTAACTGCAGGAATCACTTTATCGAATTCAACCTTTCTGTTTTGTTCGACGAACTGGAAACCAACAACAACGACGTAGACGCCGACGAAGACGACGCCGAACACAGCAACAATAACTTAGTACTGAGTTGCAACAGCACAAATCAGCATAGAAATGTTGAATAAACATCCTTATTACCTTTGGTTTGACATAAAAGTCGAATTTTTCCTGTGATTGCGAACGTAAACAACAAACATACTCTTACACCGAAATATTCATATTTTTTCCACCATTCAACATTATGAGCATTGTTTTAAACATGAGTAATAAAGATTTGTTGTTTATTTATCTTTTTGGTATTATTTTTAGATTAGTTAAAAATATGACGCAGTTTAATTGATTATTTGGCTATACTGTATCTCATTCTTCTTTTCACTTTTTACATTTTTTTTTAAAGATTTTGGAAAGCTCATGAAATCATATTCACCACAGAACTAGATATCGTAGAAAATATTAGGTCATACACAGTGTCATATCGATCAAGAATCCATTAGATAATACACAATGTCATATCGATCAAGAATCCATTATGTCATACACAATGTGATATCGATCAAGAATCCATTAGATCATACACAATGTCATATCGATAAAGAATCCATTATGTCATACACAATGGCATATCGATCAAGAATCCATTATGTCATACACAATGTCTTATCGATCAAGAATCCTTTATGTCATACATAACGTCATATCGATCAAGAATCCATTATGTCATACACAATGTCATATCTATCAAGAATCCATTATGTCATACACAATGTCATATCGATCAAGAATCCATTATGTCATACACAATGTCATATCGATCAAGAATCCATTATGTCATACACAATGTCATATCGATCAAGAATCCATTAGACCATACACAATGTCTTATCGATCAAGAATCCTTTATGTCATACACAACGTCATATCGATCAAGAATCCTTTATGTCATTCACAATGTCATATCGATCAAGAATCCATTAGTCCATACACAATGTCTTATCGATCAAGAATCCTTTATGTCATACACAACGTCATATCGATCAAGAATCCATTATGTCATTCACAATGTCATATCGATCAAGAATCCATTAGATAAAACACAATGTCATATCGATCAAGAATCCATTAGACCATACACAATGTCATATCGATCAAGAATCCTTTATGTCATACACAACGTCATATCGATCAAGAATCCATTATGTCATACACAATGTCATATCGATCAAGAATCCATTATGTCATTCACAATGTCATATCGATCAAGAATCCATTAGATCATACACAATGTCATATCGATCAAGATCAAGAATACACAATGTATGAATCAATTATGTCATACACAATGTCATATCGATCAAGAATCCATTAGATAATACACAATGTCATATCGATCAAGAATCCATTAGATCATACACAATGTCATATCGATCAAGAATCCATTATGTCATACACACAATGTCATATAGACCATACACAATGTCAAGAATCAATTATGTCATACACACAATGTCATATCGATCCATTATGTCATACACAATGTCATATCATCAAGAATCCATTATGTCATACACAATGTCATATCGATCAAGAATCCATTAGACCATACACAATGTCATATCGATCAAGAATCCTTTATGTCATACACAATGTCATATCGATCAAGAATCAATTATGTCATTCACAATGTCATATCGATCAAGAATCCATTATGTCATACACAATGTCATATCGATCAAGAATCCATTATGTCATACACAATGTCATATCGATCAAGAATCCATTAGATCATACGCAATGTCATATCGATCAAGAATCCATTAGACCATACACAATGTCATATCGATCAAGAATCAATTATGTCATACACAATGTCATATCGATCAAGAATCCATTATGTCATTCACAATGTAATATTGATCAAGAATCCATTAGACCATACACAATGTCATATCGATCAAGAATCAATTATGTCATTCACAATGTCATATCGATCAAGAATCCATTAGATCATACACAATGTCATATCGATCAAGAATCCATTAGACCATACACAATGTCATATCGATCAAGAATCAATTATGTCATTCACAATGTCATATCGATCAAGAATCCATTAGATCATACACAATGTCATATCGATCGATCAAGAATCATATCGATCAAGAATCCATTAGATCATACACAATGTCATATCGATCAAGAATCCTTTATGTCATACACAACGTCATATCGATCAAGAATCAATTATGTCATACACAAAGTCATATCGATCAAGAATCAATTATGTCATTCACAATGTCATATCGATCAAGAATCCATTAGACCATACACAATGTCTTATCGATCAAGAATCCTTTATGTCATACACAACGTCATATCGATCAAGAATCCTTCATGTCATACAGAATGTCATATCGATCAAGAATCCTTTATGTCATTCACAATGTCATATCGATCAAGAATCCATTAGACCATACACAATGTCTTATCGATCAAGAATCCTTTATGTCATACACAACGTCATATCGATCAAGAATCCTTTATGTCATTCACAATGTAATATCGATCAAGAATCCATTAGATAATACACAATGTCATATCGATCAAGAATCCTTTATGTCATTCACAATGTCATATCGATCAAGAATCCATTAGACCATACACAATGTCTTATCGATCAAGAATCCTTTATGTCATACACAACGTCATATCGATCAAGAATCCTTTATGTCATTCACAATGTAATATCGATCAAGAATCCATTAGATAATACACAATGTCATATCGATCAAGAATCCATTAGATCATACACAATGTCATATCGATCAAGAATCCTTTATGTCATACACAATGTCATATCGATCAAGAATCCATTATGTCATACACAATGTCATATCGATCAAGAATCCATTATGTTATACACAATGTCATATCGAAAAAGAATCCTAACCACAACTAAAGTCATCGACATCATTTGAACAAAGAAAAACGAAAACATTTCAATAAAAAAATTAAACTGTCTTCCCAAGAAATATTTATAAAGACCGTCAGCCACTTCTGATAGAAAGTTGTACTCCCTGAAATCATGCCGGGCATACATAACCAATCCAAAACACACAAATTGCTATACTAAGTCAAATGCTTTAATATGATGATTACACGCTTACATTGAATTTTAGTTTGATTAAAACCATAAAGATATGTCATTCGGGCGTCATAATGATCTCAGTGGGAAACATTTCCTTATTTGATATAAAGATGGACGTGTTTGAAGCTCGTTAGTAAATATGTTGGTTCTGTTGTTGCATATGCCTTGTGAACAAAATTTTCTTTGCGGGTCTCGTCAAGGAACGAGATGACGCTTATTCGTTAAAAACACCTGGTCTGATCCTTGTGTTTTGGCAAGAGTCATCCTGTAAATATGTTCTTATTTCTTCCCTATTTAATCGAATTTGGAGGCTATTTCGTGGTATGTGGAAGGTAACATTACCGTTTTTACTCACTAACAGACATAGACATAGAACTGCAATTTGGTTTGTAGTTATAAAAAGATAACAAGCAGATATAGTTTGTTTTGATTATAATCATTTTATTTTTCAGTATTTTGTTTTTAAATATTTCACAAAACGCCAAACTATGGTGGGAATTTTCTAATAACACGTAACAAAGTCAACAAAACTCAAAGGTTCTCTCCGATTGCCCACAATGACATTCGTGTCGTGCCAACAGCTTTATTTCAAGAATGAATCAGTCCACTGTTATAGTGTATACGGATGGTTCGATCATATCTGTTCTGTACTTTTTCTGTGTTATCTCTGATGTTTTAGCTAGATTAAAAGTGGCGTTTCTATTTCTTTCCCATCGTGAAATCCGCCTTAATGGAAGACAGATTAAGCCACCTAGTCCAAGAGTGATCCCAGCGAAGTAGAAAGTCATGTCATAGTTACCACTGATATCAGCCAACGCTCCTTGAAAGTGAAATAAAAAAGACTAAATTAACGTTTTGTTACATGTTTAACAAGAGCAGTTTCGTAAATTTATCTTGTATTTAATCTTAAATAATATCTGCAAAGATACTATAAGAGTTCATTACTTGGGAGGATTTGAATAATTATTGACCAATCATGGACATTTTTATTAAAGAAATGCAAAGGAAACAAAACTGGGGTTAATGTCTGCGTCACTTGATTGTGCTTTTCTAAAAGCTGAATAGCTTTATTTCAACAAATCAACAAATAGCCTGTATGCAACAGAATAAGTCTTATCAGATAAGCCAATTTCCGATGCTGTTTTCCCATGCGTTTGCGAATATGTCCTTGTTGTAATATATCCTGAAGCGTTTTTCATTGGCTGCATCACACATCGATGGTGATGTCACAATACTGACAATGAAATAAAGTCGTAAGTTAATAATAACACAACAAAATGGCTGCCCCGTTTGATTTTGACATCTAACATTTTACTTCAAAACCTGCCATAATGTGAAATTTATCAGGTTTGACTTAAAAATTTTGTAGTACATTTTTAATCTATGATTTTATGAAACTCGTCTCGCAAAAATAAACACTTCTAAATTTGGTTTCATCAAATTTTGCATGAAATGAAGAGCCTTTATGATCCTATGTAGGTAACAGATAGATTACCTGCGATAGGTGACCCAACAAACGTGGATAGTCCCATGCTCAGCCCTGTCAATCCAAACGAACTGTTGAGTCTTTGTATTCCAAGTAATTCTGCCAGCAGTATACTTCTTAGAAGGATAAAGGTAGCTGTGCGAACATAAATCAATTATAATGCAGTGCATAATGATACACAAACACAATGTTTCTAAAAAAAAAGCAAAAAAATAATATAATTTTGATATAGAGGAAATCATAAAATTGATTTACATTTCATGCCAACACAAGCAAATGCTTCACGTTCGAATTTGACCCTATACGAATGATATAATGATTACGGCTCAGAAACACATTACTCCGAAAACAACAAGAAAATACCAACATATTAACAAAATCATAATCCAAACACGACTTTAATAAAATCTTGATGTCACCGGGGTGTGGTTGGGTATATATATATAGATACAAATCACTCTGATTTCAAATTTGTTCGATGATTTATTTCTGAAGGGAAAAAAAACCTGAAAAGACAAGACAAACATTTAGACTCCAAGCCTCTTTCGAAACAAACACTCACCAATCACGAACGCGCCGGATACAATCAACTTCCACAGCATTGTCAACTTACCAGGCTTCACTGGCCCCTTTCTGAAGGGAAAAAAACCAGGCTTCACTGGCCCCGCACCATACGAAGTGATACGTATAGTATATGTGTATGATATATGATCTTGCTGGACCGCTCGCGCTGACGTCCAGCAGTAGAGTGTCAGGACAGAGAGAGACAGATAGAAAGAAAACCAAAGGAAGTGACGTAAACAGGTGTGGAGAACTCAATTAGCATGCAGTACAAATGCAGGTGTTAGAAGTGCTGAGTTGCGTTCACGTTGAAGTCCATGTCACGTCGGACTAGTTCGGCCACATACCACACATTCCACTGGACAATACATGAGACGTAAACAACATGTCACGTGTACATATACTTAGTAACGTCACGTGCACATTCACAAAACAGTAACAAGGACATTTACAATATGATACCTGAGTATGCATCTATGCTACATTGTTATTAAAATACCACATGTGGACACATGGGTTACATTGACAAAAAGATAGATCTACTCGGCGACGCCTGAAAAAAGGACAATGAGTAAAAATTAGGAAGTGTAAGCGTCTTCTGCTTGATCGATGACAACCGCTATGTAAATGTTGGTAAATCTTAATAAGTAATGTCATGTTCTCAAATGAGAACAAGGTACACAACAAACGGAACCATCAGGCAAACTAAGTTCACAACCACATAATTGTAACGCCAAACTCCTTGCCTTTCTTAGAAAAGAAAAGAGAAATGTGTTCTTTCAGTATATAATTTGGAATGGTAGTGAGTAGAAAAAAAAACAAATGTCCTTACAGAAGAAATTATTTTCAGAAGAGGGTGTTAAAGATTGTAAGGAAGCTTCAATTGAAGTAGCCCCCCTCTTTGGGTTTTGTGAAACGTAACAAGATTTAGATGAAATATCAAAAGTTCAGCTGATATCATGAAGAACCAGACTTTTATTTCAGTTTGCAATGAAACGTTTACCTTACCGATAACAAATCCAAACACAACTGAGTAGATCGCTAGCGTAGCAAATGTAGTGTAGAATGGCACAAAACATGTAGATATCCCCCCAATCAAGAGGGCAATGTTGTTTATAATAAAGCTATTGGCCCATGGCTTGTCCGCTATGAACCCAATCACAACACGTGTTACAGTGCTAGACACTCCCATGAATACAATCAGCAATGCTCCTTCATCGGTAGACAGGTTGACGTCATTAGCCCAAACAGGAATGAAGTTTGAAGGGATGAAAAACCCTGGAATAAAAATATAAACCTGCTAACCCTAGTAGATATTTAAACATCTATTAAATGTTTTGTACTTATCTGTCCGGGTTTTTGGTCACACGTTACAAAATCTTTTTGAAATATTGTCTTCAAATGTAACTTCAAGATCTCTTGTCTTTGTTGTAACAAGTTTATTGGCCTAGACAGGTTTAATTTTAAGTCCTAAGCGCAAACGCAAATACGGAAGTGCTTAAGAAATAACGATTTATTAGTCAAAACAGAACAAAGTCTTCTTATCACACCAGTTGCCAGAGGTGAACGTTTTGAATTTTATTTTTTAGTTGGAAGCTTAACATGAAAGCGTTATGAAAACACTGATCAAATGTGTAACAAAAACGCCTCGAAGATGTTGTAGAATCGCTGCCAAAAACTACGAAATAACTTTTCGCATAAGCACAAACAAAATGCTTGCTGGAACATGTAATAAAAGAATCTCAGCCTTTTGTCAAACAAAGTATCAAAGTTTTGAAATTATCTTATTTTTTCTAAGTGGAAAAGTACACATACCAAACATGACGAAAAAGCAGGATATCCCATACAACATCATGGTGGGACTTTTAAGAAGTGTAAAGTCAAACATGTCTTTCATCGCCAGGCATATTTGATGGCAACATCTGTTTGAGTTCTTCTCAGCAGCTCCAACAATTTTATCATTTTCAATTTGAGATTTTTTAGTTTTCAAAACGTTTTTGTTAAAATGGATTTTTGATGATCTGAAAGACGAAGAAACGACAATTCCATTGAGAAGGATAGCTGACATAATCCACAGAGTACCTTTCCACCCGTATGTTTCCAACAGAAATTCACACAAGGGCGCAAATGCAAAACCGCCAACTCCAGCACCACAAACTGCTATTCCTGTGGCCAGTGCTCTTCGTTTTTCGAAATATTCACTAATTATCACGATTGACGGTAAGTAAAAGAGGCCAAATCCGATACCTTTATTGAAAAAACGAATGCTAAGTTATCAAAAATAAATGTTTTTTCGGATTTTATTACTTTGTATATTAAATTGCGCGAAATGAATTATTTTCTAAAGAAAAATGTCCAGTTGTTACAATACATATACATTTCATATTTTAGCATTTACCCCCTGCCTGTGTTGGAAGAAGAAAATTGACTATAACACCAGCAGTCTTATAGAAAAAGTTTGAAATTTTCTTATGAAAGATCGGTGTCGTGTATTTTCAGTCGAACACATTTGTAGACAACGGACGGAAATATGATCATAAGGAAAGCACTATTCAAAATGGAAACATTTAACATGATTTGTACATAATGTCGACAAATACTTAAATTATAGGCTATGTTAAAAATGCGTGTACCTCCAACAATACTGTAGAAGAAGATCATCACGTCCAGATTCGGCGAAAATGATGACAGGAAAAGTCCAACGCTTACGATGAATGCTCCACTTCCGGAAACTATCCTACAGCCATACTTGTTTACTAAGGCACTTGCAAAAGGACCTAAGATACAGCAGGTATAGTTACCTGAGGTACAGTTGAATTTCAGATAGTTTAAAATAAGTTGAAATAAAAGTTATCAACATAACGCATACTTATTACTAAATGGATTTCTTAAAAAAATATATCCTGAAAATTATCAATTATCTTATAGATATGAATGCTTTGATTAAACGATTGCAACGTTATCGTTTCACGGTACACGTAGAACGAGGTCAACAGTTCCTGAATATATCGATTTTCTTTTAACACTTTCAGCAAACATGTTGTAGGAATATTCTTCAAAAATGATTGCATGGTCGATAGTATAACATGTTTTTCATCATTGAAATTTTGTAATTTTCACATTGAAAGAAAGAATTACAAGGACAATTGGAGAAAACAACGTTCCCCGTTGGAAACAGGATTGCAGGGGTTTGTTAAATTGCTAAAATGCCTTTCTTGTAGACAAGTGGGTTCGATTTCCAGATCAGACGTGAAATATATTCTGTCACCGGCTTGCCACATGGGATTTCTATGGATACTTGTGTTTCCCTCCACAGAAAGGTCTCTTCTACGCTTTAATTTTGACCAGCAAGAGTGATTAACTTTACTTCATATTGTTTTACAGTAGTTGTAAAATAAAATTGTTTCGATACAATGACGCTGGGTACATAATATGGTTATATCTTATGTTCATGAGAAATTGCTATCGTTTTGTTATCTCAGTAAGCCTTTCTGAGTAATCTTTAGTGACCCTTGAACTGTGCAATATATAAATACTAGTTTTGCATATGTCATGAGTTTCAAAATGATTAATTCCGTTCTTACCAAGTATGAAAAAGTTTCCAAACATCAGTGAGTGCAGCATCTGTGTCTTTCCTTTACTTTCACCAAAATATCTAAGGAATTCCGGGAAGAAAATTCCGAATGTAAAACTCACTCCTTCTACCAACAAGCTAACAATGAAGGACGAAAATGTGACCACCCAACCCACTCCACCGTCAGGTACGTGGGCTGGCCTTTGGTGCTGATATACCATGTCAGCTAGGGACAAGTCTCTACTTCTACCTATATAATCAACATAGAAATGTTCTTTAATGTTAAGGTAACGTGCTATTTTTTCACTTTGATTTATATTTACATGCAAATACCAAAGTTACGATCAGGAGACTAGTATAACATCGGACATTCTCATTATGCATGTGTAAATACATAAGATAAGGTCACAAACTTGTGGTAACCAAGCTGGTCCTGGTAGCACTATTGTCGACATTGACTAATATATACCCTTACTTGTACTCGCTTCGGGTTTTTTGTCCCTCATGAAGTGCAACTAATTATAATAAACGATTTCAACAGAAGCTGCACGGTAACCGTAATTAGACATAATGTTAAATAAATGTCATCATCTGGTTGTCTCAAGGCCAATTTCAAAAGAAAGTCACCCTTTGTTTCAAACAATAATCATGAAATTATATTTTTGACTTTGAATGGCAAATATGGTCATTACACTCACTTGACTGTAAAGAAGATCATTTGCACAAACACTTACATTGGAAGAGTAGAATAAAATGATTAAAAAATGTTTTCATTGTCAAACACGGATTTCTGTATACAAACATTGCTTTATGTAAATGATATGTAATATTGTTTGGTGATATTGGTAAAGATGAGGTACAAAATACAGAATTAAAAAACTTACTAAAGATGATATAAAACTGCAATCAACCACAAGCTACTCATTAGTAATTCACTTGTTAAATATAACGTAAATATAACGACCTGAATACGTATGCGTTCTGAATGATTTCATTTAGTGTTTGCGTTTTGTAATATAACCTAAAATATTCAAAACCTATCTAAAACGTTTGTCATTGCTATTACGGTGGTCAAAATATGTTTACTGGAGCAGAACTCAGACTGTCCTGAACAATAGAAGATTTTGTACTGAGCAGACACAAATAACCCCATATGTAAGAAACACCGATAGTGACATTTTGTCTTTTATCGCTACTCTTCTCACATCCATACTATAGAACACGGTCACGGGATGCCACAGTCCGATAATATATGCGGTTACAAAATATACTTATTTTGGAAGAGAGTATAAGCAACTGATTCCATCGTCGAGGAACCATATAATATTTAGCACAACAAGGTGATCGGTTAAAGCTCATGTGATACACACATGACTCACAAAAGGAGGCTAGTATAACATAGTTCATTCTTATTCTGCATGTGTAAGTACATAAGATAAGGTCACAAACTTGTGGTAACCAAGCTGGTCCTGGTAACACTATTGTCGACATTGACTAATATATACCCTTACTTGTACTCGCTTCGGGTTTTTTGTCCCACATGAAGTGCAACTAATTATAATAAACGATTTCAACAGAAGCTGCACGGTAACCGTAATTAGACATAATGTTAAATAAATGTCATCATCTGGTTGTCTCAAGGCCAATTTCAAAAGAAAGTCACCCTTTGTTTCAAACAATAATCATGAAATTATATATTTTTGACTTTGAATGGAAAATATGGTCATTACATTCACTTGACTTTAAAGATCATTTGCACAAACACTTACACTTGAAGACGAGAATAAAAATGATTAAAAAAATCCAGTCGAATGATTTTATTGTCAAACACGGATTTCTGTATACAAACTGGTAAAGATGAGATACAAAATACAAAATTTTAATACTTACCAAATGTGATATCAAACTGCAGTCAACTACAAGCTACACCATAGTAATTCACTTGTAAATAATAAGCATTGTCAGGATTATGTAGTCACCTGAATACGTATGCGCTCTAAATAATTTTGTTTACTGTGTGCGTTTTGTGATGTAACCTAAAACTATTCAAAACCTATCTAAAACGTTTGTCATTGGTATTACGGTGGTCTAAATATGTTTACTGAAGCAGAAACCAGACTGCCTTGAACAATAGAAGACTGCGTGATGTTTTAAACATTTTATTTAATTATACATATACATACAAACATTTGAGAAGAAATTCAATAAGTCCTACTCAGAAAGATAAGAGGTACCTCCTTTGTGTGTTAGGTGCCAATTTATTACTATCACTATCTAATGACTATGTTGTATGGTAACGTACTTTATCTTGTACCACTGTAATGTTATTTGTGGGAGAGGATTTAAATAGGCTCTGCCTAATGTCGAATCCTTGATCATATATGTATAAATAAGTCAATAAAATTGTCTGAAATTGAAATAAGAGCATCCATCCATTTTGTACAGCCGCTGACACACTGGAGCATTTTTGGATGTGTCTTAACTGCTAACAGTTATTTTCCTTAAACATCAATATAAATCATGCAAACATCATAATGTTTGGTCAAAATATCTCACACTTATAACCGTAATCAATTAAGAGTGTTTCACATTGATGCAAACAAAGTCATATTTGCTGACAAATGAATACTTTTTGTATGTTTACTAATTTCATTAGCTCCTACAGTAAAGTCTTGCAGCACTGAATGCTGGGGAGGAGAGGGTATCTCTTGGCGACAGTTCTAGGTAAGACCGTGTAGTGGATTTACATTTCGACGCAATGTAACATTACCTGAAAAATTGTCATTTTGAATCTTTGATATCCTACAAGCTGTTGAATTGACAAGACACAACTGTTGAATTGACAAGACACAACAGTTGAGTTGACAAGACACAACAGTTGAATTGACAAGACACAACAGTTGAGTTGACAAGACACGACAGGTGAATTGACAAGACACAACAGTTGAATTGACAACACACAACAGTTGATTTGACAAGACACAAAAGTTGAATCGACAAGACACAACAGTTGAATTGACAAGATACAAAAGTTGAATCGACAAGACACAACAGTTGAATCGACAAGACACAACAGTTGAATTGACAAGACACAAAAGTTGAATCGACATGACACAACAGTTGAATTGACAAGACACACAACAGTTGAATTGACAAGATACAAAACTGAAAATAAATCTATAGTTATCAGTGAGGTTCACTTTGTCGTACTTGATCTTCAATCTTCTATCGATATTTATTAAATTTAGAAATTCATACTTTGTTATTATCATAAATCACATGAAAAGTTTGTATTACAATATTCGTATGGTGCTGTCATGGTCATAGATATGTGTAAGCCCTTCGCGACGGTTCCGAAATGTAACTGTTTTAAGAACCATTCAGTAACATTTTCTGTCAAAGTTGCTATATATATCTGAGGACCAGTCCTTAACGTAAACACGATTGCTTCCTTTGTTTTTGTTAATATTATAGGGCGATGAGCATGAATGATAAAAAGCGGCTGTTATCGATGTGTCGACCTGACAAATATATACCATAGACTGCTTAGATATTTCTATATGAGCAACATGTCACAGCATATCCAAAATTCAACAGTTCGTTCAATTTCGTGAAGGGCTCACAATTATTTATGACCATGATAGCACCATACAAATATTGTAACACAAAAAAATTGAGTATATCTGAGTTTCGCGAGGTACTTGTCACGGTCAGATTATATTCATAAACCAATGAGTTTGTAGCTTAAAGAGAGCACCTACCTTTCGAGGCCGTCTAGGTCTGCCATCTTGAAAAGACCATACCTTAACAGGTACAAGTGATAATGGTGTGTCTTGTAGTTTTTACCTTATAGCTACTCTTATGTAACTTCATAAAGTCCATGCACCTTTCAATTCAAATTTCGAATTAGATAAAGTAATGCCATATTATGAATTGAACTGCATCATTCAATTGTTTCTTCCTCTCATTTGGCTTCTCCGGGACAAATATTGTACAACGATTTCTACCACTGAATTGTATTATAGGACCTGAAGAAGCCCTTGTGAAACTGTTCAGCTAGGTAAGTAATGTCATCATGAGCTTGTCCAATGGACTGTTATTGGGTCCTACCCACCCTGTATATCTTTCAGTATCCAGACAAGAGGACTTGGAACTAAGTATTCACTAAATGGACGACATGATAGCGTTGTCTGTAAAGCTTCTCCTTGACTTAAGTAAATATTTCAATACATTATGGAGGGTAAATTATCCAAGTCATTCTGAAGATGGTAGTTGCCTTAAGATCTAGGTAGTTGGGGGTTGGGGTGTTCCTGGATCAAGGTATAAGATTCAATCTCTTTTATCCATTTTTCAAATTTCCAGAACTACTTATTTGAAAAATCATTGTGTTGAGATACCAGTATGGAGCTAGTATATCTCCCGATCTTCATTTTGACCTTTCGGTTTCCATAGTCGTCTCCTTTTAATCACAATTACGGCAGACCATGATCAAGTTACTGGACGCTTTATCTGGAGGCACGATAACATACCTGTCACGCAAACATTGAAATGTGGATTTAATATCAGGATCGGGAAGCGCTGACCCGTGTCTTGTTTTCATGTTAAATTTCAAGCGTCTATTTTTTTTTTTACGAATGATGGATCGAGTGGATTTAACTTACTCAAGAAGCGAATCCAACACAGGATGATCTCTTTCACCCATTCTCTGACATGGGTTTCAACAGAATCCATAGGTATCATGTTTTTTTTTTCCAGTTAACGGACAGGGGTGCACTATATTTAGGACCCTTCATGAAAAGCTCCGTCGTAGCTTAAATATTTTGGATAATGCTTAATATGTTTCCCCTGTTGGACCACGGTTATGAGCAGGGTTGGAACAAGCTGATGGCAGAGCAGTTCTTCGGTCATCTACAAATCATGTTGTTGCAGAGTAGTTGCCAAGTTCGGATGCGATGCGATTAAAGTAATGAATAAGAAACTGTCGTTCTTGTAGAAGTGGAGTCGCCTCCCTTGGTCCTCATAATTTCTTTTCTGCTGTTATCGTGATATCATGTGAAAGTTTGGGTGCAGGTCGTTTTTTAAACATTGAAGGTGAACGGATATTTTGCTTTTGTGAAGACTGATGGGACATTCAACAGAGGATCATATCGCTGCTTCAAAAAATAGGTAGATAGCCAATAAATTCAACAACAAAGAAATTAATATACATTTATTAGATATATATATTTATATACATATATGTATAAATGTAACGAACGAAAATATAAAGGATTTTACAGGAGTTTTCCTTTCATACAGATTTTTGAGTCTTTGATTGATTGATTGATTGATTTTTTTGCGAGCCCGTGAATAAATGTAAGAATCATCTATTGCATGTTATGCTTAACTTGTCTTCTTAATGTCAATTTGAAGAAATATATTTACTTTGAAAAAATAGATCGATGAATAAAAATCTTTTATTACATAACTTATAAAAGTTACATTTTGACAGGGTTTTAGGTAAAAACTGAAATCGAACAGCGGAAGCGGTTTTCGACGCAGCCAATGAAAAGCGTTCCAGGTTACATTACCCTAGTGACTACTACATGGATGAACTAACTCGGAGATCTGGATTATCTATTTAAAAAAATGAAAGGTATTATACAACACATAATATCACAAAAAGGTTAGAGCCCCGGCATTAATATTTTTTAATCAACTGAAGTACTTCATGATGTAGCATACTACGTCCGTGTACAGTGTGTAGAGTTATTGCTCAACCTCTGTACCTCAGTTTACCGTATTCTAAGCCCTTTCTATCCCACTTTTCACCGTATAAAACCATTCTGCCCCACTGTTCACAGTATCCTTTGCCATTTCTGACCCTTTGTTCACAGTATCCTTAACAATTTCTGCCCATCTGTTTACAATATCCTTTGCCATTTCTGCCCCTCTGTTCACAGTATCCTTAACAAATTCTGCCCTTCTTCTCACAGTATCCTTTGCCATTTCTGACCCTCTGTTCAAAGTATCCTTAACAATTTCGGCCCCTCTGTTTACAATATCCTTTGCCTTTTCTGACCCTTTGTTTACAATATCCTTAACAAGTTCTGCCCCTCTGTTCACAATATCCTTTGCCATTTCTGACCCTCTGTTTACAATATCCTTAACAAGTTCTGCCCCTCTGTTCACAGTATCCTTTGCCATTTCTGACCCTCTGTTTACAATATCCTTAACAATTTCTGCCCCTCTGTTCACAGTATCCTTTGCCATTTCTGACCCTTTGTTTACAATATCCTTAACAAGTTCTGCCCCTCTGTTCACAGTATCCTTTGCCATTTCTGACCCTCTGTTTACAATATCCTTAACAATTTCTGCCCCTCTGTTCACAGTATCCTTTGCCATTTCTGACCCTCTGTTTACAATATCCTTAACAATTTCTGCCCCTCTGTTCACAGTATCCTTTGCCTTTTCTGACCCTCTGTTTACAATATCCTTAACAATTTCTGCCCCTCTGTTCACAGTATCCTTTGCCATTTCTGACCCTCTGTTTACAATATCCTTAACAATTTCTGCCCCTCTGTTCACAGTATCCTTTGCCATTTCTGACCCTCTGTTTACAATATCCTTAACAAGTTCTGCCCCTCTGTTCACAATATCCTTTGCCATTTCTGACCCTCTGTTTACAATATCCTAAGCCCCTTCTCCATATCTGAAACATCCTCCTCCTATGAAAATAAGCAGTATAGAAAAATAACATTGAGCTCACTACGGCTAACCCAAATATTTAAACATTTTCTCCACTACTAGATAGCCCCTCCCTTCCTCATGGCCACATGTTTCCTCGTCGTATAATGTACAACTATATGTATAGCTGATATTTTCTATCAATATTAGTCTAAATATGGGTCTGAATATGATCACAGTGAAATCTGGTCAATAACAAGACTTGTTATCGATTAAAATCACTTTTATCGATTTCTTATCGATACGCCGAGCTTTAACAATAATAATAGACTTTGATAGTTAAAGGAAATAATCATCATGATTAGTGAAGGAACATAAAAAAATGCTAGACAAAATAAAACATATTACAAGATAAAATTACTAGACTAATTAGAACACACTTTAGAAACATATAACAGAGGGTATTTGTTAAAACTATCATAGAAAACACTAACTACTAGTGAATTTAATTCGTTCGACCAGAGACATACATAACATATATACGTCTCTGGTTCGACAAATGATAAATTCCTTTATATATACACACACAATGCTGTTTGTTTATATAACAAAACAAAAACTCTCAATAAAGTTATAAAGCATAACTTCAAACTTTCAAAAATTGTTCTAAAACGAAATTTAAATAATCCAAAAATGTTGAATAAGTTGGTCTCGTGAAAGGTCGATATTTCACACATGCTTTACCCGACTTATTATACTTGGTTTAATATGTAAAAAAAGGTTTTGAATAATAATGGGTCTTCTGCTTCGTACCAATAACAACAGTGTTGGCTTTGGAAAAGTCACGTGATCCTTCGTGTCAACTTAATTATTGTAATTATAAGACTTAGTTAAATTGCCCACAACCGTTTACCGATTAATATCTTACGTAACATCTGCATGTTAATTGGATGATGCGTATCTCTGATTGCCATATTTTTTTAAATCCCCTACAAGGCAGTTTTGGTTGATAGTAGATATAGTCTATTGCCTGTAAGTGGTATCAGTTCCAACAGGTAAATGTGCCTTTAAAACTCCACCTGTTGACACTAAGCAACTGGTATTACCTGTATTTTCAATGTTATTTCCTAGTATATCTTTAAGTGTTTTTCTCGAGTACTTTCTTGTTTAACAATTAAATTATCATAATTAAGAACAATGCAATATCTATGATGTACTTAATTACTTCGTGCAATATTAGTTAAATTGCAGGTAATTTCATCTTTATATTATAATGATATAAGAAATGTGTTAAGGAGTAGTGTTTATCCATCAAAAATAATGATTTAAGCTATTGATATATGCTAAAGGGTTGAGAGACGTCAAACTTAATTATTCAGTAATTTTCGTCAAAAATCATTTATATATTTAGTTTAATACCTCAATCACGTGAAGATATGTTATGAGAAATACAGGTAAATCTCGGGTAATAATTCTGATAGGAAAAGGCAGTTTATATGAAACAATACATATTTGTCTGGTCATTGTTTCCTAAAACAACACCATCTATTGTTTTTAAAAAAAATGTTGGCACTGGGGAACACCCCATTGACTTATTACAGGTAAACTTTCGTCTCAAGACATCACCGCGCGCTTGACATCCATTTTTATAACAACCTGAATTGATGTCGATTATTGCGAAGGCCCAGAGAAGGATAAGACGTCACGCCCAATGTACATATTTTATATTTTCCAGCACAGATTTGATACGACTTATTTACCCAAACATGATTTTGGACAATGATCAACATCACAAAGTAGTACACGGTATTGTGTGTGGACTTACTGGATGACACTGCCGTGTGGATTCCTATCAGGTTTACTTAAGTATATATGGATCATTTGAATATTGGTATAGATCATATGAAACAGGTCGGTATTCTCATCCTTTGATTCCTTTACAAGATCGAATATGTTTTTTGTGTTCATCTAATGTTGAAGACAAAAACTTAATTTTTTACTTAATTTTGTATATAAGCAGACATAAGCAGTAACTCATATAGCTAAGCTATTACTCTCAACCTGTCCTTTTTGGATCTCAAGAATACTTGCAAATTTTATAATGACAAGTCTTTGTATACAAATGCTTCAGCTGCTACACTGCATTACATCTACTGTAGGCATCTACGTTTTAATTTCACATAAACTATCATGTACATCGCTGAAGTTTTTATAATGTAACACAGGCTTCAAATATTTTTAATTTGTTCATACACAGTATTGAAGTTTTTTTTTATCAATTTTAGGTACAATATTACAGTTTTTTAGCGTTTCATAGCCAATTTTGACCGGATATCGGTATCTATGTGTATTTAACTTAGGATTTTTTAAAAAAAATTTAGTTTGAAGATTGATCATCAAAACTACTAATATAATATTTAATAAAACTGGAATAAATAAAAAAAAATCGATATTTGAGATATTGGTGGTAATCTGATATGACTGAAAAGCTGATTACAGATGATAGATCCTTTATTGAACTATATAATTGTCATTAATTTAATAAAACATAACAAACAATTAGATACATGTTCTTAGAATGATCACTATGTGTGCATTTGAAATCAATAACCTAAAACAGCTCTTCTCAGATTTGAAAGTTAAAACGACAGTTAGTATTTGTAAGCTTTAAATCGTCTATCAAACATAACATATTCGTAATTTTTCATATTAATTTTTGTTTTACAATCAAAATCAAATAGAACATATAGACTACAGCAAAGCATCGCATAATACTTATTTGATAACCATTACAGTCTACATGTTCTGGAGTATTACTTCTCTGTTTACACTCAGGTGTAAACACTCAGGTGTAAACACACAGGTGTAAACTACATCAAAATGTCTATATAAATTTCCGAATGTAAGTAAATACTAGACATATTTCAAATCTAACATTTCTGAAATCTTGAATGTTTCACGTAGTTTAAGCAGGAAAAAACACATATCACTCTGAAAATTTATCTAGTTTGCATGTAATTCTGTATCTGCTTTTGAAATAATATTTATTCATTTTGGGGCATTTGAAATTATTTTTCGTTGTACTATTTTGTTATATTTTTTAACATCTTATATAATTTTCATAGATTGTATGGTAAAAACTGAAGTCATCAACTTACGTTTTAGTATTTTTTCTAACACGCAACGATAAATCATTTATAGATGTAAGAAATGATAAAATATCTCTAACTTAAAGGTTCACCATGTGTAAAGGGTATTTGTTTCCGTCAAAGTTCCTGACAAAGATCATTTTTGTGTTCCATACGAACGATAAAATTTAAAACAAAATATAAACCGTCGTTATATCCGTATGATTTAGTTCTTATTTCAACAAAACAGTAATATCCAGAGTAAAAATATTATCCAAAGATTAAATCCAGTCATTCTGAATGCATAGCAATGAAATAAAAAAAATGCGATTTGCAAAAAAAATGCCGAAAAGGGAATATTAACAATTTGGTATTTTTTTTAAGAAAAAAAGTGAGTTATACGGACATGATCTGGTGACATATAAACTTTATCAATTTAAAACAAAAGTTACGTGTCACTGATGTGTACATACAGAGTCCAGAATAAAACGAAGTTCAAGCTTTAGCTGTTTATATAGGGGTCACGCTGGTAGTTCCCGCATTGTCGCCGGGGAAAGGCTGATAAGTAGGTGGAGGAATGTACTGTCCTTGAAACGTAGGCTGTTGCATTTGTATGTTCACTGTGCAAAACGAAAGAAGAATACACAGATGTATTTATAAAACGAAAGTGAAAGTATAATTATACAGAGGTACGTGTATTTATAAAACGAAAGTAGAATTATACAGAGGTAGTTATTAAACGAAAGCGGAACCACACAAAGGTATTTATGAAGCGAAAGTAGATTTACACATAGGTATTTCTATTAAACAACAATTTATTTTTTGACAATTTATGATTGATTCATATTTGTTTTTTTCGTAAAAGCAGTCTCAATTGAAGCAGCCATTTTCCGTTTAACTGACCAAGAAAAATAAAGACATACAGAAAAGCAGCACCGAATAGTTCCGACAATCTACCTGCAAATTCTGCAACGATGGGCATTAAGACAATGTTTGATACGATTTAGAACAGGGTGTGCACTGGGTATGAATCATACATCGGTCTAAATATATTTTTTCTGCTAATTTAAATAAGTGCCAATGTCATTCAATGTTGTAAACTCAGCTTGTCCACTCGTTTACCACAGCAACTTCACTATTGAGATTATTTCCTCTAACCTTATTCTTGTGAACTTTGCCGCCAATTTAGCGAAAGTAAAGGTTTTGGTAGTCATACCGAGAGAGTTAAGTTTTTGTCAGTTATCACGAGAAGGTTAAGGTTTTGGTAGTTATCTCGAGATGGTTTAGGTTTTAGTAGTTATCACGAGAAGGTTAAGTTTTTGGTAGTTATCACGAGAAGGTTTAGGTTTTAGTAGTTATCACGAGAAGGTTAAGGTTTTGGTAGTTATCACGAGAAGGTTTTGGTTTTGGTAGTTATCACGAGATGGTTTAGGTTTTGGTAGTTATCTCGAGATGGTTTAGGTTTTGGTAGTTATCACGAGAAGGTTTAGGTTTTGGTAGTTATCTCGAGATGGTTAAGGTTTTGGTAGTTATCTCGAGATGGTTTAGGTTTTGGTAGTTATCTCGAGAAGGTTAAGATTTTAGTAGTTATCTCGAGAAGGTTAAGGTTTTGGTAGTTATCTCGAGAAGGTTTAGGTTTTGGTAGTTATCACGAGAAGGTTAGGTTTTTGGTAGTTATCTGGAGAAGGTTAAGATTTTAGTAGTTATCTCGAGAAGGTTAAGGTTTTGGTAGTTATCTCGAGAAGGTTTAGGTTTTGGTAGTTATCACGAGAAGGTTAAGGTTTTGGTAGTTATCTCGAGAAAGTTAAGGTTTTGGTAGTTATCTCGAGAAGGTTAAGGTTTTGGTAGTTATCT